TTATTTTGTCACATTTCAGGAATTTTGCAATAGTTATGATAGTTCAAATTCAACATCAAGTTGAGCCTCATAAAATGTTGCTCTTTCTTCTCTATGTATCACTAGCCTACGCATTGGCACTATTTTTTGGCAATTTTGTTATACCCCATACCGGTTCTCATGTATGTGCATCAAGGCCAAGTACACAGTACGTGGGGAGTCTCTTAGATGTAGGTGCATGTATATTCCTATCTTCTCTGGTTAGAGCACTCCTTCGGTAGCTCATTCTGATTACATGCCCAACAAAAGTGACAAATGAGCCAAGGTGAGAGGGGATGCTCGAGGCCTCAATGAGGTACAAGGCGGGAGTCATGAAGAAGAAAAAAATATTCCGGTGTGCCTACGTTTCTTTATCAAGTTACCTGTTACATTATACACCCATGACCCATGAATGCATGGTGTACAGTGTAGCAGGAGCAGCAGTATCGATCTCATTGCCATTTTTCATTGGCGATGCACTTGCTCTCTGGGCCACTTGCCAGTTTGTTCATAAGAGCAGTTTACATGTACATTCTTGATGGTGAGTAAAGGATGTTCATGTTACAAAACAATGTCTGGTACAGTATATAGTACATGTAGTACATCATAGTCACAGTCACAGTCACAGCACATACATGTATAATGTTATAATGTATCTATGATGAATAACTACATGTACATGTTCATTCCCTGTGAAGCCATAAAAGACATACCGCCATAAAAGACATACAGCCATACACATAGATAATATACGATTCAATGTTTACCAATGATCACTACGTCTATCCAGCTACCTAGAATGTTTATACATGGCACCATCACCATCAACATTTCCGTGGCAACATATTTACTTTTGTCTACAATATATGTGTGATGAACAACTTGATGTCTAGCGATGGGACATATTTACTAAACTAGTGTGATACACATACCACCATCACCATTACCATGACAATCTGTCTAAGCCTAGTGGCTAGTTCCAATATGCTTCTATATGTACACCAACAAATACAAATTAAATGCTCACTTTCATTATCAAACTACCGGTAGTAACTTCTGTTCATTGCAAAACAAATATCAAAAGCAATTTCCTTTTGAACTTTCTTAAATATCCGTTCAGGTCTTTTTCATGTCAATAACACTTAATATTTTATCAAGCAGGCTTGTGAGTTTTTGATTCATGATGCCAACAAGGAATTGTATTTGAAACTGCAACAATATTCATGCAAACTGAGAATACCCCAAAAAGTTTTTAACAAAAATAATAATAATAAAACATAACCAGTGTTTCTGACTTCTCAGCAAGCAGAAGCTCATCAGACTAGAAACAAAACTGAAACAAAGTTTGAAGGAAGTAGCAAAATACCCTTTTTTTTTGTTACTTTCATCCTAAATTGCACTACGTTACAGTAATTAACATACCATTGTACATGTTAGACTAATTGCCTATCATACTGCAGACCATGCATGGGCATAATTAGTCATTTCTTTCTGTTAGTATTTCATTTCCACAGGATGCCAAAATGCAAGTTTTCTAGGACAAGGCATTACTATTAATTTGGGGTCACCTCTGACTGTCAGCTTGGATTGGAGTTTTCTAAACATATCACCGGGAGAAGGTGGACTTCTCGACACTGCAAACAAACAGGCAAAACTTGTTAAAACAAACACCTCAAGAGGCCGAAATTCACAAAGAATGTTTAGTTTAACCCATGGTTTAAACCTTGGTTTGACTATGAACCTCCACCTTCGACTGAAATAACTCAAATAAGTATGATATACATCACAGTTATAACTGTTTTGTAACACACATGTTGGGCATCAGAGCCATTGATCAGGAGAGTTTGGCCAACCCGGTTCGAGTTGGGCACAAAACAAAATAATACATGCCATGTTGTGGATTGTGACCGAGCGAAAACCAAGCGAGTTGTCCAAACTCTGTGTTTATACATGTATGGCTCTGTTGGGCATGTGGACATGCCTGTACTACACTTGAAGTTGTGGTGGTTTAAACCATGGGTAAACCGCTTTCATGAATTTGGGATAAAATCTCAGAATTGCATAACATTAGTATTTTTTTCAACTACATGTATGCAAAACAATGAAATTTCTACAATATATAATGCAAAAACCACTAAATGGCATGCTCATTGCAAGATAAATCTGTCTGTGATCGTCATGTTCAAATGCACAAAAAAAGATATTATTATTAGCATTCAGCAGTTATTTAGTATCAGGTAAGAACATTTGTATGTTATCATTCTTGTGTTTGGGGGTGAGAAGCACATTGACCACACAATGCAAGACACTGCAACTTCTACTATCAAAAGCAAGACAACAAATTATTTTTGTTTTTCTTCAAAACCCAACTATACAGGGGAGATACATGTACCGTAGTTGTTATGAAAGGCCAATTTTTATGATCAATTCTAATTCTTTTCTTTTTTGGTAGACTTTGTTGACAAACTACACAATAGTCAGAAAGCAGATGGTGTTACTAATGTAGGACAGGGTAGAATATTGACTCCCTACTTTGTCCCTAGCATCAAATATCAACAATCTGCATTCTGGTTATTGAAATACAATAAAATTGTAACAGTTAAATGTTATTTATTCATCATAAGGGAAGCTACAAATTTAATACATTACTACAATGACCCCTTGATGATGGGAATGGCACATGTTTGAAACAACATTAGGCGATATATGAGGGACTATCCCTTTAAATCTGACATTCCTGCCAACTATTAAGTAACACCCACATATTCAAATATTCATGGCCAGGCTTCATTCAGCAGCTGTCCTCAAACTCTTTGCATAAAAAGACTCTTCATGCAACCATGCACAGACAATATGTCATCAAAGTTTCTACATGACAATGATGACATTATCAATAAGAACATAAATATACAAACAAAAAAAGTTTCTAGATGACAACTCCATCGTGTTAACAAAATCTGTTACAGTAGTTCTTTCTCACTACATTGTGAATTCATTCATGTCGATAAAACCTATCCCTTGTAATGTAATTTATATTTTCACTCCTGATTTTTAACACAACATACTGTATTCTTATTGATTTTTTCACCCTTAATTTTTCATTAATGCAAGCTTAAGTTTAATTGTAGCTCCAATCGTTAATATCTGTTCGTGAGAATTGCATTCATAACCATGTGTCAGTGTGGTTTAGTAATATCTCAATCCTAACCAGAAATTTAATCAATAGAATTTGAATTTGCATGCACATGAAACTACATGCAAAATTTGCATAACTATGACCAAACAGCCTTTAGCTCAATTAAATAAGCAAAAAAACGTCTACAATCATGTAAAAACTGTACATGTACAGGAAGACTAATACTTTCACTTTACAAAAAAACAACCTGTTTTAATAAGAGCATATAGCTCTTAAATAAGAGGTAGACAAGATGAAAAATCCTGTTTATTTAGTATACATTCACCCACTGATAGAGCATTGATGAGCCAAACATTTGAGATCACCTCTGCCCCCCCCCCCCCCCCCCGAATGTTTTCCTCTTCTGAAATGTGCACTATGAGATAAAAATCTAATTTGGGTTAAAATGCGAAATGCTCCGTCCCAGGAAGTTTCTTACATGAGGAAAACAAATATTCAGACGGCAAAAAGCAGCTCACAGGAAGCAAACGTCTTGCTTATTTTGTGGGAAAATCCACTTAAAGCGGTACTCAAGAACTGTCACCTATCAACCCCACTCAGCTATTCTGGAAACTTCTCTCATTTACATTCAGGGGTTCTGACTTTTTGAAGTTCACATGCTGTACAACATCATGAAGATATAAAGTTTGACATGTTTGTAACCTCACATGTAAAGTCTGTAAGTGTTTGCTAACTCCAAACTCCTTTATTTTTCTCCCATTACAAAACTTAATTGAGAACCATAAATACGTACATGTAGGCTGCAGGTTATCAGAAATAAAGAGAATGTATGTAATTGTATATAATATTATTGGTGCCACTATGGAAAAGCAAAGTTGAGTCATCAAGACCTTTGGAAAAATCTATTACTCTGTCTAAGGACAATGGGATAACACATGTTGTTTCCACAACATTCCAGCTCACTGGTTTTGTACACTGCACTGTATGAAATGTATAATGGCATTCTTTTTTTTCTTTTCTTTTTTGGAATGCCATTGAGCAAGAGCTGTATTATAAAATTATAATTCACACATTGATGCACAATGCAAATTAGGCTTGTAAGAATAGTTACACTATATCAGTTGTAGTCAATATCTAAATAATAACCCTTCAGTATACAAGTAGACATAAACATTTTCACACAAAACTTAAATTTGAAGGCAATAGAAAGTGTTGTTTGAAATTTTAAAATATTGTACGTAATTGCCACCCCGAAATACATCCATCATCTCCTTTATTTTCTAGTCTGATTCCTTCAAATTTGTGCCTGTTACTTAAAAAATGTGCATGTTATTGAATGTTAAATTGAACCATACAATACATTTTGCAACAATTCCACACCCACTATCCCAGGTAACATTCTAATCAACTTAATGCTTTAACAGGAGAACCCTTTCTATGCATGTTGATCAACTGAATGTATCAATGGTTCCTTTTGATTTGTCTACAAACTACTTTCACTAGATGGTAAGAATTAATATTCACATGATACACAAAATGATTACATATTGTACATTACAAATGATTGCTTCTCATGAATCTAGATGACAAAACATGTTCATGTATTAGACTAGTACAGGTACATTTACTGTAATTACACACTTCAATGACTTTCTGTCATAAATACTTAAAGTTAATTGGTTGAAACAATTAAAAGGCAGATGAGTACATAAGAAGCCACAGCCAGATGCTCTGTGAGTATGTTTTCAATGGCATGCAGTTACTGGAATTGAAAAGAGCCAAGATGCACACACTTGAAGCACATTCAAATGAATGCAGATTGGTGTTGAAAAATAAAATAACTTACGGTGAACACTGCCAAAATTACCACTTGATCCATCAACTAATCGTGCTGAAATTGAAGCATTAATCAATGGTATCATGTATACATGTTTGATGTACATGTATGGATGGCATGGTGTATTAGTAAAAAACTAATGAATAAAAATAAATGTTTTGGACAATTTGATCTCAATGTAGTAACAAAAAGAAAAAGATTAATCAAACGATGTGGATGTAGAGAGCAGTAGGAAGTTGGAAAGGGTATATAATACTCGTAGAAACTATTTGGTCGCATAATATCCTCTATAGCTTTGAAGTTACTTTGAAGCGTATCCAACATAATATTTTAACTGCATGCCCTTTTCAGTAGTAACACTGTACATTGTGTACACTGTACAAGGATAATTTTTTTTAAAGGTATTTTGTGCAATTAGGCTTCCAATATTTATACTGAATATAAATACAATATAGTCCCAGATTATTGGAGTCAAAGTCAAAAAACTGAGTCAAAAGTATTGGTGGCTTTTGAAGGGAAAAAGGAGACTATTATTTCATCTACTATAGACCTACATGTACTGTATTGTCCTTATGCAACCAAAATGAAGATGGATTCAATTCATTCATGACATATGGTAGGAATATATATTTAAAGAAAGAAAATTAATTTTAGCTACATGAAGGTTCTGTAATACACTAGTCTGAAATGAATGAAAGAAATAAAATACGCAAAATACACTTTTTATGAAAAATAAAAGTAAAATTAAATCAATGCTATGAGCAAAACAATAAATTTGAAGGCATTCAAGAACTGTCATGCATTTGTCAAGAAGCTATGCTTTATATCTGATTCAAGTCTGTATAAGAACAAAATACATGTACCTACCATAATCCTTTATCAACATTGAAGAAACTTTATGTGAATTGTATTTAAAAACATATTTATACTGAAAACATCACTGAGAAGAAAAGAAGGAATGCATTCTAAAGAACTTGGTAATTTCAATGATTAAAAAAATGAAAGAAAGATGGTTACAGAGCTCTTATCAGCACTTGAACAAAGACATTTTTTTAAATTTCCCTTTGGTTCATAAATTGCTATAATACAAGAGCATGCAGTAGTCAGCAGTACACATGGAGAACAAATTTGCTAAATAAAAATGAGAGAAAAATATAGTATGTTCACTTAAAAGTTTAAATAGCAGTTTCAAATGCACAGAACCCTGTTGTTTATACCAATCAATCAAGATCAAGTTGCTACATAGAAACCTACACAACAAATACATCCATTTCCTCAATATTTTGTTTGATTAACATACAGGTACCAAGATTTTTTTTCTTCAATTAGCATGAGATTTGATTCTCATGAAAACCATAGTAGAGGACGGTGGGAACATATGAACAAATTCAAAGAATATATTTTGTTAAACTTCTCACATACATTATCAATATCAAAATTTAGAGTTCTATGTTATTTTCATTCCAGAATTGACCACACAGAAATGGATGAAATTCATTTTGTTGTTTCCAAAATAATTCATTAACTGTAAAGATAGAAATCTACAATGCTGATGTGCTTTTTTTTAGAATCACAAGCAAATTTTTTGTTCTTTCAAAGTTTCAGTTTCACTCCCAATATCATCCCATATAATCATCACCGGTCCACTCATTTAATTATCTCATCAAAAAAAAGTCTTGGTTGGACTCCACTAGCCACTCTCACTCGGCCAAACAAGAACACTCACTCACTCTCATTTTCTCTCATTCATTGTCTAGGTTTTGATACACATGGCTATCTTCAAATTTTGTGAGCCTTAAACCATATTTCATTAAATCAGAATCATAAATTGTATTGCTAATAAGTAACATTTTTGTAAAGAAAAAGAGTCATGGCGTTCACGGATGGCTTCTTTGAAGCCGCCCCACCACGCCTACGTTCGCATTGCGGGGTTTTGACCGTAAGTCAGGCACGGCTCGGGGTGCATTGGCAATGCACGTATGCTGGATGGACGTCCTACTGCGCGCTGTATTACAACTATACAAGCCAGTCGAGAGAGAGAAAATAGAGAATACTTACTGTATTTCGTGGTTGATTTCCCATCGGAATCTACGATTTGGATCTTAGGAATTGTATGAACATCATCATTGGCGTCGGGGTCTGCATTTCCATCAGTTTTTGTCACTGTGAATCTGACAGAAGACATGATGAAAGCTTTTCGCACCTTCGCGACGCAAAAATAATCAGTGAATGATTATCGTTTAGAGCAATGCAATCGCGATCACTTTGACCTGACACAAATGGCCCATCGAAAGTCCCATAGAAGCAGAAGGAAAAAAAAAAGGGGGGGGGGGGTTCCACTACATCAACAGTAGGCGGAGGGATTTAACACATTTTTTTAAACGGCTATAACCAAATCAGTGGATAAGCTGCCTTTGGAAGGTACAAGGTGCACGTGCAATGGACATGGATGTGCCATATTGCCCCCACCCCCCCCCCCATATCAACTGTTTTTTTTTGGTGTTTTTCTTTCTCTTTTAATGGTCTTCAGAACTATCAGATTGATATTTATGGTTTCATGCTATTTGGTAAATCATGATAATGTTAAAAGAAGTATAAGAGAAGATAAGAATGAAAAGGAAGCTATGAGCTCATGATTGGAATGCTTTCACAAATTAAATGAATAAGAAAGGGGAGTAATATTCAGTTGAAGAGGGTGAACAAAAATAGTTGTACTTATCATACAGCTAGGGGTGGATCCAGGATTTTCCAAAAGGGGGCCCGGAGAGGCGTGAAATGTACAAAATTGATAATCCTCCTTTACGGAGTGAGGTCTGGGCCCTACTTAAGGGCTCCTGAAACTTTTGAACCTTAAGATGCTTTATGGTACATTCTGAGGCATTTATCCATAAACTGAACAATAAATGTTCATTCATGAATGTATTTCTTAGCTTTTTTCCTGCAATTTTTTTTCGGAAAGAAAAAGGGCCCCCATGCACCCCCTGGATCTGCCCCTGCTTATTGTAAGCATTAGTGATTATAAAATCGATTTACCTAAACTAATATCTGTCATCAGCCTACTCGCACAGTATACCTCTGATCTATTTTGAAATCCTCTCACCCATTATTTCTCTCACACTGTCGGTCTTCCAAATACCTGACCAGCTCCGTATTTCTCTTCTCTCTACTATACTTCCCTTCGATATGAAAAAACCATGAATTGATGATTTTTTTTTATTTTGCAATTTGGATGTTTACCCTTGAAGTGATTAGGCAACATTCTTGATAACAATTCCTGATAGAGATTACACAGGAAACTTGTTTGTAATTCTATTTCTAATGAAATGCAACTTATTCCTAATGCTCATTCCCCCCCCCCCCCCAACCCTGATATTTTAAATATGTCATACTTTCAATTTCCACTTGGTTTATTCAAACATAACATGTACAGTTAACAACTAAATTATTAACCCTTACCAAGCTTGGTTATTTTTTAAGTATGCAACAAAAATGATTTGTCCCGATTTATATTTCTTGAGGATGTGACAAGTATGCAACAAACGGCCCTAATTCAACCCATACTTTTTAAGTTACGAAAAACACTGTGACAGAAAAAACATCAAATTTACAAAGGGTATGAATGAATACATTTCCATTGTATTGAGTCATCATAGGACCTATTATCCATACCTTTTCTCTCTGAAATTTATCAAAAAAGTATACACAATTCACAGATTTAGACTTTACATACACACAAAAGGAATGGTAAGAAAAATAATTTTATTGACTTTTGAAGTACAAATAAAACAACTTTTTAGAAATCTGAGTACAAGAAAAGAATTATTAAAAACATTCTTTTCTTGATTATAAGTAAGCTTTGCTCTTTCTTGACAAGTAAAACAAATCATAAATAAACATACATAAGCAATTATATATGATCTATAACATCAAAAGTCAACCCTTTTATAGTCTTGTAAGTAAATTTGTCAAATTTGTCAATGACGATGATGATGAAAGGAAGATGAAGAACAAGATGAAGAAAAAGGTGATGATGAAGAAGAAGAAGAAGAAAAGAAGATTTAAAAGAAGGAGAAGAAGCAGAGGAAGAAGGAGAAGGAGAAGAAGAAGAAAAAAAGATTTAAAAGAAGAAGAAGAAAATAAGATTTAAAAGAAGGAGAAGAAGGAGAAGGAGAAGAAGCAGAGGAAGAAGGAGAAGAAGGAGAAGAAGAAGAAGAAAAGAAGATTTAAAAGAAGAAAAAGAAGAAGAAAAGAAGATTTAAAAGGAGGAGAAGGAGAAGGAGAAGAAGAAGTAGAAGAAGAAGAAGAAGAAGAAGAAGAAGAAGAAGAAGAAGGACAAGGAGAAGAAGGACAAGGAGAAGAAGAACAAGAACAAGAAGAACAAGAAGAAGAACAAGATAAGAAGAACAAGAAGAACAAGAAGAACAAGAAGAACAAGAAGAACAAGAACAAGAATAGTAACTCATTCTTGTACATTGTACAGACACTACAGTACCATGTACTAATGACCAAACATTCATGTTTAAATGAACCTATATAATTATTAAACGATAGAGGCAATCAACTTTTTAAGCATTAAAATACATTCATCAGAAAAATACTTCTCTGAGTCATGATAATATACCGATCGTGCAGCATCTTGTAGCTCTCGCACAAATTTCCCACTAGCCAACTTCATATAGTTTACCAATGCTATTGCTGTTGTTGTTAAATGCAGAGGCATTTCAATGCGATTGCTTGTCTTTTATTAGCCATCAGGTATTTTCAAAGTGATAAAGTAATGAATGGTAAAAATGTGAACTGAATATTATGATGTTACCAAGTATTTCAGTATTTCAATATACCGGTAACTTGTTTTTAGAAAACAATACATTTACTACAGTGAAAGCATGACCATGAATTATAAAAACATGTGCTTCTGTACATTCTGATACCATCTGTGTATGACGTCTTGTTCAGAGTAATAACAAGTACCATATAGGGGATGATCTATTATTTGCCTGCGCATGATCCAATTGGGCACCCCCTTTTATTTTTGTTTACAGTTGTATGCTAATTTGTACACTGCCTCTGTCTTTGAAGCACAACACAATCTTCACTTCAGAAAGGACAAAAGTATAAAAAAAAGAAATCATGAACACTTTTCATGCAAAAATATCTTTTTTTCTTTACATGCCTTTGAATTACTTTCTCATTGGTTTAACATAGAAATTGCTCAAGGTGTGCAAACAACATATCGGTATTGCTGACTCCTTTTCTTTTACTCCAAGGAGTCTTTTGATAATCTATATAACATTTGTATTTACTGTCCAAGACAGTACCTGTTGAAACTATCGAATTGCATTACAAATGAAATAAAAAATTGCTCAAAAATATATCTTGGTACATCTTTGGTATCTTTCAAATATTCCCAAGTCATTGGACGTATAAATTCTTCTTGACCCTGAAAGGTTGCAGGTACATCCTCTATGTTAAGACCGAGATTCCACTTGACCCAACAATGGTCTTGGTACAACTATCTACCCTTTGGACAATTCTAGGAGCTGCATAACACACCAGTCTTGTAAATTCTTGTAGGTCTAACAATGCTTGTGATCCATCCCCTACCTTAAGGACGACTGTAAGGCCTACAGTACAATATATGATCCTCTGTAATCCAATTTTCATATAAAAAATGGCAATCATGTTAGATATTGAAATAATGATACGAATACTAATAAACAGAATTTTAGTGCATTAAAGCCTTAAAGTCAGAGTAAAATCCGATTCAACTTCATATTGTAGACAATCTCACTACTGGTCTAACGTCACTATTTAGTTTTTCCTCTCCAAAGAAGCTTGAAATCGGACCGTAGTCAGATCGTATATTATGCAGTGGGCTTGTAAAGAAGTAGATTGCACACCAGTCTTGTAGAATCTGCTTCAATGCTACAATACACCTTTATATATTAAAACCATCTTCCTTGTGGAGAGTTCTAGGAGATACACAGCACACCTGTAGAGAAGAGTTTCTTGACTTCATAAAGTTTTTTGCTCGATCCATCTAAATATTGCTAATTTAGGCTGGCATATAGCACTCCAGACCTGAGGGTCTTCCTGACTAACACTCCTGGGGGGTGTTTCACAAAGATCCCAAGTCGAACTTAACTCTAAGTTGGACTTAAATATTACAGAGAGCCATTTGTAGCCTTAAAATGAAATATATTCAAAAACGAAAATTCAAGTATTTTAGACTTTTCATAAATTCCACATCAAGAACATGAAATCTCCTTGATAATAGAAAATATGAATAATTTGAATCAACATTTTATGCCTTTTAAAATAACTTTTACAAAATATTTTCATTGATGCTAACGGCTTTCAATAATTTTGAAGTCCAACTTAGAGATAAGGTCAACTTAGGATCTTTGTGAAACACCCCCTGGTACTTCCATCTACGTTACGGAGGATTCCACGAGACACATGGTTAACCAATCTCGAATATCTTTTTCTCTGGTAGCGTAGGCAGAATCATCGCTGGAATCAGCAAAGATAAGAATGGAATGGTTTCATGATGCAAGGCTCCTGGTATACCCATCTACCTTTTTGATGATTCCAGGAGGTACATGGCACACCAGTCAAGAAGAGCTTCTTCTCCTGTACTAGAAGCGGAATCATCACTAGGAAGATGGGTGCCATTCAATATGCTCTCGGTTAATGAAGATGACAGGCTCTGTGCAAAAGATATCAAGAGAAGAGAAGACATTCATTAGAAATCTTTTCATACTCTCCTTAGACTCTTTCCCGCAGGTGGTAAACATATTTCAAGTGAAAAAATGAGGCATGCTATACATGTACACAATCAAAAGACCTGTACCACCAAAAAAGGGCCTCTTGAAATGTGATTTTCTTAAGTAGATTTTGAATAACGCAGCTTTATACATTCAAAGGAAAATAGGATTGTATGAAGAAATACTTAAGAAATACATTATTGTCCTTGTACTTTCCCTGCTTATGAATTCATTATCATAATTATCAATAGTATAGAGGAATCTGAATTGCAAAATGAATTATGATGATATTTCTATAAACTTCAAAGTTTGAGATGACGATAGTCCTACAAAATCTATAATTATGCCATCTCTGTGAGGCTATGAAGCAAGTAATTACAGCTGTTGCCAATTAGTGATTTTGGTCTTTTAACTAGGAAACATTACCTCATCTTCGTCTGGACTTGGAAGGGAAAATACAGGAGATAGCAGGTTTTGCTCGATGTCTAGATTACCGATACTGTGCCGATCCCGTTTCTTCCTTTTACGATCGGAGCTCCTTTTGTCTTTGGTTGCACGTTCACTCCTACTTGGTCTAGATAGAGAAGCAGTAGAAGAGCCATCTGGTCTGTCTTTAAGATCATCAGCCTGATCAGCAGTTCTGTTCTTTGAGCTTGATCTTTTACCAGATGTTGGAGATTTTCCCAAGGAAGTAAACCCGATGTCACTTGATGAATCATCACTGGTAATGGCTGCATCCATCGAGGTGTCTATTGCGGTCCTTCTCTCAACATCTGACTTGCTCTTTCTTGAATTCTGTCCAGATAACAAGCACGAATTCAGTGTGTTCTGTGCATTAGCACCTTGTTTCTCAGGTAACACATTCTTTGACTTACTCGAAGGCCTCGTCTGAGTTGCAGATGGTTTCTGTTTCCTATTTAGAGTCATTTGTCTCACTTTCATTGATCCCATGTAAATTTTGGATGACAGGACTGACTGGGTGACTCGAGGCTTTGGCTCTTCGATCAGGGTCTTGGATATCTTTGGATGCTCTGCAGAAGACAAACCCTGTGTATTCCTCTCTTGACGACTGGTCTTCTGCTCATTAGGAGAATTCTCTGTGTTAAATTTAAAAGGTGGATTAGACGTGCTAATGTCTAGTTCCTCTCCAGAAATTATTTGCACCAAGTCCCCACCTTCAACAAATACTAACTTTCCAGGAGGCGTCGGTGACTTACTGGAATGGCGATTAGATGACCTTGGAGTGGAAACAGAACTTGACTCAGGTTGGGTCTCCTTAACAAAGAATCTGCCTGAACTGGATAATGAAACACTAATGATCTTCGTAAACTTGTCCTCCGGTGAGTTAACATCTTTTGCTACTCCTGCTGATGACATTGAAAGAGCAGTATTCTCTGGGTTAAATGAAAGAGAGTCTGGTGTATCAATGCTCATTGGTTCCTCTTCATCATCCAGATTGTGTGAATCCTGGGTGACACCACAAAATGTACCATGTTCACTTTCTCTTACTGTCACCGGGAGAGTCTTATCAGAGGGTGTCTGGTTCTGCTCCTCACCGCTGCTGAACAGGACTTTCTCTGGGTTGAATGAAAGGGAGTCTTCTGGTGTTTCAATGCTCATTAGTTCCACTTCATCCAGATTGTGAGAATCCTGGGTGGCACCAAAAAATGCACCATGTTCACCTTCTCTTACATCTCCAGAACCTGTCACCAGGACAGTCTTATCAGAGGCTGTCTGGTCCTGCTGCTTTGTGCCATTGGGAGTAGCAGCCTTTGTTGACTCACCGCTGCTGAACAGAACAGGGGTGACGCTAAACTCCGCTGTTTTGTTGCTATCCTTTGCACTTCCTTCAGAGCTGAGCAGGCTATGGACAGTCTCCTTGACAGATACACTGGTCTCCTGTGTATCCACTGAATGGATGTCTACACTTTGGCCACCTGATGACAGAACAATGGGAGAGAGTTCCTCACAGTTGTTCTGCTTCCTACAACTTCTTGCATTGATATCATGTGAATTTGTAACTTCAGTCTCCTCAGATTCACCTTCTTGGATGACCTCAACACCAGGTACTGTTGTATGTTTGGTTCGCACCATATCCCGCTTGCTGATCCACCCAGACAAGCACAACCCTGAAGAATGAGCACTTGACGTTTGTTTCTCAGCAGATTCCTTTTGGCTGCTTTCTTCCTCGCTACTTGATACAAAAATTGTTTCCTGTACTCCAGCCTCCTGCCCATCCTTTTGCGTAGATGTCCAGACTCTATGGCTGTCTTTAAATGAGACACTGGCTATTTCCAAACTTCCATCGAGGCATATACTACTTTGGTCTGGATCTGCAAACCTGATCCGTTTTTCACTGCTACCCCTTCTATCACCGTCATCACAAACAATCATTTGCTTTCGTTTTCTGGACAACTCTGTAACTCGAGGTGAAGCTTTCTCATTTCCAGGAGCGACACGTCTGCCTTTACTGTTGCTTACAACATCGGAAGTCGTGGAATATGTTGTTCCAGTTAGTGTACCACATGTTACTTGGTCAGGCTCGCGCTTGATGACATGTTCTGCTTTCAACACTATGTCACAGCCATCACTCAAGGATGTGTTTGGTAATACAGGAACATTATCACTGCTCTCTGCCACTTCTGTTGTCCCACCTGATGTTTCTACTGGATGTGAAGTATCTACTGGGCTGAAGATATCAGAATCGCTGCCAGAACCAATATCAGAATGTTCCTCATGATCACCGGTGCCATCGGTTGTGTGTTCTGTGAAAGATGAAAAGCAAATGATTTTCTCGATGGGGTAAAACCTATATTTGGATACTATCACTACGGTATAATATACATGCAGGTGAAAAACCTGAAAAAAATGCCAACAATCAGAGTTAGTTAATGTCTATGTAATGTACATCAAACCAGTTTTAGAATATGCTGCCCCTTTCTGTAACTGTACATGTATTACTTAATTAGAGGAATACATCCCCCCCCCCCCAAAAAAAAAAAATAAAAAAATAAATAAATAAATAAATAAATAAATAAATAAATAAATAAAAAAATAAAATAAAATAAAAATAAAAAAATAAATAAATAAAAATAAATAAATAAATAAAATAATAAAATACCCATGCAAGCTGATTCTAGTTAAGACTTAACATAACTTCTACTAAGTTACCAAAGCAAAGAAGAGGGTTTAAGTACATTGTTGCAATCATAGGTAAGCCAACAAGGTAGCTTACCTTTCTTCATACGGTCATCAATACTGCACTTCAGTATGGTGAAATCACTGTCCCCAGACTAAGCAAAGAAAAATAAGAAAGAAATATTTTATCCAAGAGGTAACATCTGAGACAAGATACCAACATTGCAGTGTCAATTTATTCCATATTCAAAGCAAATTAACTTAGATTGTTTCCTGAAAATATGAAGCAGTAGTTGGATCCAAAATCCACACTATATGAACATCAATCGTCTTCAGTCAGCATAATCGCTATCATATAACAAATACAAATTTTCGAGTTTTATGATTGACATTTCTCTTGCTTAAATAAGAAGATAAGATGGAAAACTTCATTTGTTACATAATTTGGTGATCTTGCCTGATTAACCCATTGAGTTTCATCCCTTTCAACTTGTGTTTGAAGATATATATCTACTTTCTACAGTTTCAAAAGTTCAAAATATTTACAATTTCCCCATATTTATTTGTCATACTCCCTCCCCTTCTCCTCCTCACTTTCAGTTTTCTCTCCTTCTCTTACCACATTTATCATGAAGTCACTCTGACTGGAGTCAGATAGGGTTGCTGATGATGTTGATGGCATCAATAACCTCTTCTTCACCGATAGGCTGGGGGCGGTTGCTGGGGGAGACTGGCGAGATGGGCGAAACGAGGGAGGTATTTGAGTTTCATCATCATCTTGACTCAACTGACTAGATTGGTCATCTATCATGATGCTGTCACCTTCTGTATATTGCGACTGCCCCTTAAGGTGATTTGCTTCTGGAGCTGCATCATGGCTACCGTCACCATCTGTACCAAGTTCCGAAGCACTTCCTCTGGCAGATTGAGCTTGATGTGAGTGGTATGTCTTAAACGGAGTGTCCACCGCATCTATAGCATCTCTGAGTAACTTCTCGGAATGATTGTCAAACAGTTCATCAATTTCCTCAAGAACATTCTGCAAGGACTGTTCAGTTCCTGGAGGATGTAATTGCTCAGCGAACAGCCCTCTGGATGATGTCTTTGCAGGACCTGAATGTAGGGGGTCATCAACGCGTTTCCTGCGATTTACAGAGCTGGGGGTCGGCTGTTTATCTTTGGTGACTGATGATGATGATGGTTGCACTTCCTCAAGGTATTCGCCATCCCATTCTCTCACTGAAAATGTAACAACAAAAGAATAATATTATTGAAGACTGAATTATAGTAGTGGTGAAAAACATAATATAAATACAATAAAGGTATTTACACATTTTGAAGAGAGGACAATTTGTAATCCTGAAGTTATCATTCAAATCAAATTGATGGGCCAAATTAATGTTAAACATTTGAAACTGGATTTGGATGCGTCTACAAACATGATTATTTGGAATGTAGTTCATCATATGACTTCTTTTCTTTTTAAAGCAATACCACAACAAATTTAGTACCCTCCTCTACATCCTGCATTTAAGTTAGAAGCAAGATACATCAAAACTTACAATGTAGATTATTGTTCAAGTCACTGGAATGAGGAATGTCATCGTAGTCATCATCATCATCAAGATCGTATTCTTCAGGAAGTGGCTATACAGGAAAGAAAATCAAGACAAATTTCATTTCCCAAAAGCTTGTTTTTCTCTTTAATTTTCATAAAATAGTGGTTTGATCACTTGACTTGAGATGCAAAGGTCATGGGTTTGAGCCTTGTCACGGCACCAATACCTGTTGGCAAAATATTAATCTACACTTGCCACTCTCTACCCAGGTGCAGTAAATGAGAACCTGGGCAGCGTCTCACGAAACCGTCATAAGTACAAGTTCACCGACATCCCATTGAAATGCCTGTATTAAGTTTAACACGCGTTTCAATGGGATGTCGATGAACTTGTACTTATGACGGTTTCATGAAACGCTGCCCTGTAACCTGAACTTGGTCAAAGTCCTTGATTGCTGTGAATATTCTGTATAGTGAATCTGACAACAGCCCTTTGTTATGTGTGTAATTATCATTGTATTATTTCTTTGTCTCTCTTTTTGTAGTGTTAGTTTTTGCATTTTGTGTATGATCATCTACCTATAAGTTTCTGCAACTTTTTGACGAACCAACCACTTCATAATTTCTCCTAATATATTTTCAATTTCATTGTCTTATCCATATTTGTTAGATGTATTTTTTTCTGTTCTTTAACATTGTATGTTGTTTTGAAAATGAAAGTGGTGAATAAATTCAATTCAATTCAATTCAATTTGATTCAATATTGGATATGAGTGCTATACAAGAAACCAGTACTGCCCTAGGCAGATTTATGTATATTTACAACTGTTTTGAGCTAAAGGATCACAATTATTATGACAACAACTCTAAAAGCAAAGTGTATATCAAAAATGAAAAAGTTAATGATTTACCTCTATATCATCTGGTGATAAAGTCACTAGCATGGTGGTAGGAAGTAGTTTAGTGATCTTCTCATGCATCAGTTTCTCCTCTCGTTCCTGCCCATGGCTTGCCAGGCTCGGTCCTCTCAGCACCTCAGGCTTCTTGACGAGGGGCGACTGCCTCTTACCCCTCCTGGACTTCCGCCTGCTGAAGGGGGATCTTGGAGCCGGGGAGGCCTGTTTGGCGCCCAAGTCCTGAGGGATAGGGAAAAGATTTGTGACATGTGGCTGTTAGGAATAACAATAACTTTCCATTTTTTTGTTGTTGCAGTGCATATCACATTATATAAAATAGGCTATTTGGTAGAGAGCATCCTATTGGCTGAGAAGCAATATAACAACTTTCTTTGCATAGTATATCACGTATAGACTACGCACCAGTCGGCACCACTCTTTTCTTCTGCATCCTTTGTTTGCATTGTCTTAGCAAGGCACATTAAACGCATAAGGCTACATGAAATTCATCAAGAGGGATGTCATCTCCAGAAAACAATGATGCATATGTTCGCAAACACTCTTCATTTATACATTATTTACAAGCATATGCGCAATTATCATTACCAAAATCATGGAATTAGCCAGATGTGTACTCAAACATACATACACATAAAGAAATAGTAGGATGTACCTTTATTTCAAAATATATTTATAGTGTTTGTGTATTCGTCTGTTTGGAGCCAAAAGGGAATCAACTCAACTGCTATAACACGGAGTTAACGCCCTTCTGGCACTGAACAGACAAATTGTTATCGGTTAATTGATACATGACCTTTCGACCCCGATTTCTTCATTTACCTGTGACCTTTGACCTTGCATTCCATCCTTCTCACAGCTACTCTCCTCATCTTCACTATGTCTATCTGGAAGTTTCTCCACGCATCCTGTGACCCACCTCACCACCTCTTCCATCCTGTCTTCTCTCGTATCACCGGGGGCAACGGAGGAGGGAAGATTGATCTCAAAGACCCAGCTCGCAAGCTGGTGGACGTGTCTCCATTTCAAGCTGTCTTCTTTCTCTCCTCCTTCAGAGGTACTGCCCTCATCTTGTTCCCTTCTTCCATCTGGGTTATCCTAAAAATGGAAATTTAAATTTGTTAAAGAACATTTTTGTCGATGAACCATGCTTATACAATTAATCCTGCATAAGTCAAATCTGTTGGGACAGCAGAAAATATTGACTTATGTAATATGAAGTGTAAATAATACATGTTTAGCATGGTTTGGTTAAAAAAAAATATATGACTAAGGAAAATTTAACTTCGAGTCATGCAGACTTAACTGTATTTCATCACGGAGTCGTTGTAGTAGATGCCATGCACGATATGTAACACATGCTCTGTCAACAATTTCTAGCAGTTAATTTTTGTCTTATTCTTGTCAAATTCCAACTTCAACCTTGGACCCAACAGCCTTTCTAACCGTAACTCTAAAATAAACCTAACCTCAAACCCAATTACAACCCTAGCTCCAAGCCTAAACCTTTTTGATGAAATTTTTTGGATGAAATAAAGCCCAAAGAAACCATTGCCTGAGCAAATTGCCTATGACAATGCTATAGCTTGCTGTTGCTCATAGCAGTACGATTTAATACACAGTTTGCTCGCCACGTTGTGTATGTAGCTTGTTCTTTGCTCTTTTGCTGCTTGCTAGCCGCTTGCACCAGTTGGTCTCGTTGCGTGTTCGCTCGTTTTAGCTCGTCTGCTGTTCATACTGATGCGTGCCAGTTTGCGTTACAGCGTACCAGCTTGCTCGGGCTGCAGGGGTGTATAAATGCTAGGTCATTTTGTGGGACTGGGCATAAACACCTTAGCTTCTGAAGATTCTACATCTACAAGAAAAATAAATCTGATGACAGCAATGGCCCTGCAGCAGAGCTCTGCCTTGCAAAAGCTTAAGCTTTGGGTCAAGCTGGAAGAAGAAGAGGCAAATGATGATTATAAGCAAGGAAAACTGCTGCTTTAGCTGCATCAACAAAGTGTCCCTCAAAGTTGTTGGGTGCATTCCTGGATCTGCCGGAGGAAGAACCAGGGACAATTCGACCAACTGACGAGGGAGCTGGAAGATAAGGACCAAGAGGCATTCACAAACTTTTCAGGGTAACCCCTACAATGTTTAAAGGGTTAGAGCAGAGACTATATGAAAGACTGGAGAAGCAGGTCACCTTCTTCAGGGAAGCCCTCTCACCCACGCTGAAGCTGGCCATCACTCTAAGACACTTGGCCACGGGTGGCAGCTACAAGTCACTCATGTATAGCTTCAGAGTAGCCCACAGTACCATTTCACTCATAGCATGTGAGGTATGCACTGCCATCATTGAGGAATATGGTGACGAGCTGGTGAGGTGCCCTATCAGCCAACAGGAATGGAAATCAGTCGCACAGAAGCTTCAAAGACCGCTGGAATTCTCCCCGTACCATTGGTGCTTTGGACGGCAAGCATGTTGCAATCAAGTGCCCCGAGGATAGAGGGTCAATGTTTTACAACTACAAGGGTTTTTACTCTATTGTACTCATGACCCTGGTCAACGCCAAATTCAAATTTTTGTGGGTAGATGTCGGATACGAAGGCTCTACCTCTGATGCACAGCTCTTCAACTCTTGTGAACTAAAACAACGCCTTGAATCTGAAACCCTTGGAGTGCCTCCACCAGAGCCCATGCCCAACGATGATAATAATAATAATAATAATAATAATTAAGATTTATATAGCGCTGATGATGATGAAGACACCCCCTACTTCTTTGTTGCAGACGAGGCCTTTGCCCTGAGGACATGGCTAATGAAGCTGTATGCAAGGACGGATATGGCTAAACAAGAGAGAATTTACAACTACAGGCTGTCCCGAGCAAAGAGAGTGGTGGAGAATGCTTTTGGCATTCTTGCCAACCGATTTCAGTGCCTCCTGACCACTCTCAGACAAACCCCTGCAACCATCAGGACCATGGTACAGGCACGACTTGATGAGAACCCGCTGCCCTTCCATCGAGAATTTAGCCTTGGACAGTGAGGACGCCGAGCATAACATAGTACCCGGTTCCTGGCGAGGAGAGCAGACCCTAGCTGGTCTTAGGCAGCCGGCTAGAGGTTGCTCGGCTACTCAGGCAGCTCAGGCCCAAAGAATTATATCAAGGCCTTCTACAACAGCCCTGCTGGTTCTGTTCCCTGGCAGGAGTCAAATATTTAAATGTTGGAGTCATGCAGGCCAGATATGCTCTGGATATCACCAGCCCAACCCCTCGGCATTGACAACATTAAAACTACTTATCTGACCTTCAGCAACCGTTTCCTCACCGTTTAATTTATCGCGAAGAATGTAAATCTCAATTAAAACATTATTCACAAGAGTTCAACAAAAAGACTGTTGTAATGACTGGGACATTGTTGCAAGTACAATTCAACAAAAGGATAGTACGCTGCTAACACAGTTGTAACAACGGAGGACTGTCAGGCTTATCACGAGAAGCCTATTGAAATGTACAAAGGGAAAAACACTGTTGAAGGTGTGTGCATGGTTTGTATGTCGCTATAACAGAATGTTCCTCTTGTTGTATTTTTGTAATTATATGTTTTAGTTATATCATAATGACTTATTTCATGTGTAGCTTTTTGTATTGTTCTCAAGATATATGTTAGCATTCGTTGAACATGTTGAGAGCAGATATGCTTATTTATAAGTGAGACTTAAAAATAAAATTATATATTTTACATTTGTCTTGAGTGGATGTTTACAATAACTGGGTTGATAACATTCTGAATGGATGGATCCATTAAAACTTAGATTATCTACTTACAATGGCTTTTTCTGGAGGATGGTTAGAGAAAGATGATCTCTCTGAAGGACCAGGATCTGGAGGGTCTGGGTCTGGACCACTGGTCACAGGGCCAACTGAAGGACTACGCTGAGATTGGCTGGCAAGAGAGTTGCAGTCGGATGATGGCCCTGAGGGACCAGGATCTGGAGGGTCTGGTCCAGGACCAACTGAAGGTGTACCCCAAGATTGGCTGGCAACTGAAACAACATGAGATTGAGAGTGAATGCATGACTTACATATATTATTCTGGGTACTTTACTTCAGCAAATAAATTGTAAATATAATGACAAAAAATCAGATAAATCCAATAAACTTTGGCAACTCTCTTGGAAATAAATGTACACAAATTTGAAAAATTAAAATGAGAGAATATTGGATCATAGCTCTAAGTTCCCCAATCCAATATGAATATTTGCAAAGGATGGCAAAATGTCTCCTCTGGAAATCAAACCCCAAGACCAGTAAAAAAGGAAATATGCTGAAATCATTGCCACAAAATGTTTTCTTCTTTCTCTGAGAAATCTACAAGTATGAAGCACATTTTCATCAATTTTTAAACAAGTACCTTGTTGGATGACACTTGCTCTGGCGACAATTGCTCTGTCATTGATTTCCTACACTAACCAAGTTCTCAACTTCAACCCTTGACCCAAGACTTCACCTCGACCTATAACCCTTAACCTAATTTAACACCCACATGCCACCCTACATCTCAGATGTACCAAAGCAAATTTCAGATGACCTGGTCCCTACCTGTTAATTGACTGCCTCTGCCGCTATGTGAGGACTGTAACAATGATGAATCCTTTTTGACCTCTGCCAATAGCTGGCTCAGGTCATCGCATGAAAAGGGAAGGTCAGAGTTCGTCAAAGCCTCGGTTCCTGATTCCTCCTGTAAGCTTTCTTGATGGGCATTACTGATGGGGAAATAATACCAATGATAGATTTTATATTCCATTAAAGTTTAATAATGTACAATTTGGGTAGCAAAAGGGAAGTTGGAAAGAAACATGTTAGATATAGTTTCTAGTTCTTTCAAGAAAATATCAACCAAATGTTAAAAGGGTAGAAATGTTGTGAAACCATGACACTATCTCAAGTTGTTACCGATAGCCATGCATTTTGGGGGATTTGAAGAAAAAAATCACAAACTTTTTGGAAGGTTTTTTCACTACTTCAAATTAAACTCTCTTTTCTTTTTTTGGAAGGGTTGGGTGGTATCTTGCTATTTACAAAACATAGACCTCCCTGCAAGGTCACTGACAGGTGGTTATCTCATCAATCAGCTCTCAATTAACATCAGAAAAAGGGGATCGCGGGGGACCAATGGGTACCACTTACGCATTGTTAACTATATAGAGGGAGCAAGTAGCTACAAGTAGTGCAGTCCCGAACGAACACATTTAAAAGCAAGCATGCAAAATCAACATAGTTAATGCAAAGGAGAAGGGTAGCCCCATACATGATTATTTTTATCAGAATAGCCAAAGGAGTGACTTACTTCCATAGCCTTTGGATATTGAGAATGACTGCACAGCTCGATCTAGCCCTCGGTAGGCAAGAGATGGTACATGTAGGGCCCTCGCTGGTCCACAGAATGAAAGATTCAATGCATATAACCAGGTTACAATCACACTGTAGAAAGAGAACCAAGTAAATTCAATGTCACCATAAGACTGAGCTGCACAGCTTTCTTTTTGACGAAAATCAGAATTTTGCTATTGAATTGAAATAATAGCATGTGATACAATTAATGGTTTTTCAGATGTGTCACATTATACAGAACATCATTGGCTAAGATGTGAACATCTTTACACCAATATTAAAGGTGCTATGTCCCATTTGCAGGCCAAAAAAAGGGAAGGTTAAATTCTAAAGGTTTTGAAAAAAAATACTAATTGGAACTTCCCTCAAAACGAAAGGCCTTGAATATGTCTTTTAGTGGGACAATAACGAGCATTACTTGTTGAAACGACTTTAGTGATTGCAATCATTTTAGTAATAGTCTGACTATCAGACCCTTGTACCGAATGATTCTTTGTTTTATGCTGCGCAAAGATTCAGTTTAATTTTGGCCATTACAAGAAGTGGGTTATTGATGTAGTAGACAAAATGCTCATGTCCCTTTTACAGCTCTTTTTATGTATAATATTACCAAAGAAAAAAAGATGTCAGTAGGTCACTCAATAATGTCTGACAGGGAAGTCTAGCAATTAAACGGGTTTCCTTGCATAATTTGAGGACACTGCTAACGTTTAAATTTCACAGATAGGACATACAAGATATGTTCATAATCCCTTCAAAGTTCTACTGGATTTGATATTGGCTGCAAATAGGGGAGTTGAATAAGGGTTTCCTGATTTGTGCTCACACTGTATAGGGACAAAAACAGGCAATTCTTCTTACCAGCTGATCTGTAATCTTCGGGATGATTCGGAACTTCTTCAAAAGCAAGATGGAATTTGGGAGATGCTCAAATTCACATCCACTTAGGGACTCTTCGTACCTGCAACGCACAATGTGAAAATAATCTGATTCATTACATTGCTGAATACACCAAAATGCAAAATACTCACAGGCACAGCTTCTGTCAGAACATGCTCAATCGATATGGTCAATTATAATTATTGTGATCCCTAACCGAGCACTTTTCTAGTATATACAATGTATTAAAACATGGGGTTTCAGTCAAAATTCTGTTAGCATTGTACTTCTTACAACAGAAAAAAAGTATTCTTCAACAAAATACATGTAGTGAAAATGTTTTGTGATTGGGCAATATATGCTAATTTCTGGTTAAACACAAAATTACTGTTGTATAATATTCTGAAAGCTACCATACAACACTTACACGTGTACTACTAATTAAATGGTCAAAATAGCATCAAGCTTATATTCATACCAATATCTTAACTATTCACCAAGTGAAAATCATAAATGTTTGAAATGTTTGTGGAGGTGTCATGGTTTAGTGGTTAATTCATTTGACTCTCAATCGAAGTGTTGAGGGTTTGAATCCCAGCCCTACACTAACGTCATCGGGCAAGATATTAATCCACTTTTGCAACTCTTTACCCTAGTGTAAATGGGTACCCGATGTGTCAGAGTACAACGTATTTGGCCGCCAGCTTTGAATGGGGTGATAATGTTAGAGCGCCAGGAGCATCACAGCGCAATGGTGATGTGCTTTGTATAAGAAGCCATTCTTTAATAGTAAAAGCTTACTTTTCAAACTCCTCAATGGCCTCCTTAGTAAATACAGCACTAGCCCTGACATGGCTGTCATGAAGGTCTGCAGATGCATAATCATCGTGGTCTATCTCTCCCAAGCTCTCTCGACATCCCTAAATCATGACATACAGAAACAAACAAGTAGAAAAATACTATCAATATATTGTATGGTTGACAATTAAGATTATTAATCAATACTATCTATAGTTAAGGTTGAAAGGGAGGGGCATGATTTACAAATAAGACAATTAACATTTTTAAAATATCAATCATCTTTAAATAGCTTTGGTAGATATTTCTCCTCACTTGGGGGTTGCCTAACCTATAAAGCGGAGGGCCAAAGTCAAATGTTATGCTTAATTTTTTAGTTGCCTACCACTACCACACAAAAGCACATAATAATTTGTAGCGGACACCCCTAAGTTGGAGGGGGCGTCCAAAAAAGAAGCCCTTTTGACGAAAAAACTGTATTTTGTGTATAATATTCTAAAGAAACCTAATGAAAATATCTTCATGTTGATATCAATTTCATTGAGTTTTCTAGTGTATGAAATATAAATTTTGTGCCTAAGAAGTCTGCGGACGAAAGTACAACAATAAGGGAGTTTACAGATAGCATATGGTACAAATGACCCCAAATATCCACAGATCTTTTACTGCCAGAGTCCTAGATGTGCTTCATGAATACCTTTTGTTTGACCTCTTGAAAAGAATACTTCCACCTGCGTATCATAGAATGTACCGTTGGTGCATAAATGAAAAATGTTACATAACTTTCATGAGCACATACCCAGTATTCATCTCTGTGGGTTTTACCATTTTGGTACAAATGACCTTTATCTGCCCATGCGCATATTGTATCTGTAAACGGCTCCCTTATACAAGAAAAAAAGTTCTATCAAATTGTCTTTAAGATCGAGAGAAAGTGAGGTTATTTCTAAAATGAAATGAAAGGGGCTATGGGACTTTCAAGGAGGAAATTAAAATCTTAATCGCTCGTGACGACTGTCTCAAGATCACTGGAGCGAAGAATGGTAACAATGAATAGCTAGAAACCCTATTCAGTCAAGGATTAATCCTTCCTATGCAGATGGATCCTTGTACCATTCTTGACCAGACTTGTTTCAAACTCAATAATACTGGCATCATCCCGTTGAATGTTGTGTCCAGTATTAGGGACTTTTAGATTCACACAAAGACAATGGGTCTATGCTACGATCGACGTCCTTTTAATGCACTGTCTTGAATGGACGTCACACGTTTCAGTCCACGCAAATCTAAAAGTCCCTATTAACGGCGTGTTCTGCTACTACTGAATGAGACAGAATGCCTAATCTGAAGTACTTATCAATTGCAACCAGCACTCCAAATCCTTTGAACTTTTTGCACTACTAAATGTATAGTTTGTGTGGTAGTGGCAGGCAAACCCCTCTTTTCTGACTTTGGCCCTTTTATTTAAAAGGTGTACAGAATAGGTTCTTAAGAATACAAATATATACATGTAAAAAATAATGATGTAAATTTGTCCCAACTCCCTTTAAAACAAATTAAAATGATGGCTTAGAGAGTAATTGGCTCCCTTACCACTTCAAAAGGTAATATTTTGTGTCAATGGAATATTTACTGAGCATGTGTTTTATAATTTTTTCTTCATCCTCTATGATAAAGTTTGATTTTTCATCCAGCCCAAGCCCCCCCCCCCCCTCCCTCCCTTTCTTTCCTTTCTTCATCACCTCTCCCTATCATCATAATGACTTGTACATCTATCATAAAACATATATATATATATATATATATATATATATATATGTATATTATCTTACTATACTATCATGTTGTATTTCATAATTCATTTTCATCCCTGTAATATATTTAAGACGAGACATGCAGTACATGGACATGTTAATTTGTGTCATTCCTGGTTATTGTTATCTTTACTCTTACACTCAATTATCTATGTTACACTATAACTTTGAAATTTGGTGTCCAATGTATAACAAAAATTGAGAAAGATCCTATCTGTTTGGATTGAAATCAATAAAGTTTGAATTTGAATTTGAACAAGATTTGCACCTCCTTGATGTTGATGATCTGCGCCACAACATGCTCTGGTTTCACCATGAAGTCAAACTTGATCGGGTCAAAGGTCGCAAGCATAGGTTGAATCCAGGGCTTGCTGAAGTGGTCGTTGACAAACTTGGACTCCTTTCTAGGCATGGTGATCTACATGTATAGATCCTAGGCCTCGCTGCTGATGAGCTTCTTCTGTTGATGTTGGCTCGCTAGCCTGGCAGTTCTGTTCTGGTAGAAGAAACAGGAGAAAGGGGAATATCATAATCCTTCTATATACCAAAAGCCAGTTTAGAAAGTACACCTCTGAGTTCTATTATAAGGAGCGGGTAGAAGAAAAAGGAAAAACAGGAATGTCAAATTCCTTCTATATACCAAAAGCCATTTTAGAAAGTACACCTTGAGTTCTATTATAAGGAGCGGGTAGAAGAAAAAGGAAAAACAGGAATGTCAAATTCCTTCTATATACCAAAAGCCATTTTAGAAAGTACACCTTGAGTTCTATTATAAGGAGCAGGTAGAATAAAAAGGAAAAAGGGGAATTTCAAAATCCTTCTATCTTATAAAACCAGTTTAGAAAGTACACCTCTTGGTTCTAGTATAAGGACTGGGATTCCTCTTATTTGACATTTTTACCCTTTGATATTTGTAGATCAATGTCCAATATTTTTCAGAGGTAAAATTGTCAGAGGTATGATTAATGTTAGATAGTCTACCGGTATCTACATTGTACATTGTAGATACAAGTAATGACCTAACCTAATCATCATCTAGTGACTTAAATGTAGACCGGCAGCCTATCAGAATCAGGGATATAAAATGTGGCAGACGTTGAAATGTCAGGTAAAAAATGGCAGGTATAATTGTCAGAGGTAAATTTATCTACTGAGCCTGACGCCGAGGACTTAAAAGTGTTACTAATGATATGTACATACAAATTGATGAAACTCGAGGGTGCTTTAAGTTTGGAGATGAGCAAATGGAAATTTGCAAGTAACAGTAAGAGGATACCATAACTCTTAACCGGTCGAAAGAAGTCCCTGAATTTTGTTCAAGTTAGGAAAAAAATTATAAGAAAAAAATTATGACTCATTGTTTATTTATCAAATATTTATGTGATATGTGTTGTATCAAGATTAGACTTGAAAATGGAAACATTTCTAGACATAGAGAAATGCCTTAATAACAAAAATTGTCGTCATTCACATGGGTCTGTAATTACATTTGGTAGACCTATGTTAATTGTTATATACAAAAGATATTCGTCTTATTTATTCGTTAATGCATTAAAAACTTATAAGAACAGTTTGTATGTTTTATAATAAGGTTTTATATTAACACCATTCAGAACAGATCATTGAAATGAGAATTGAATTTTCGCTGCCCATACAGATTACAGACAAACTTAACTCAAAGTTGCCTTGAGATGGCGTTCTAAATAGATAGGTCTAAGACAGGTTCGGAGTTGTGTCAATCAAGGAATTGTTGTGGAAATTATCGCTCATCTTCATGATCTTGGCAAAGATGGTTTTGTGAAACACTGACGTTATAGCTGACAATTTGAGCAACATGGTCGCTGGTCTTGTACGTAGTTATGACAGTTTCGAGAAACGACCCCCATGTTAATAATAATAATAGCATTGCATCTTGCACCTGCACCTGGCTCTCGTAAGCACACATCAGTCTTCAAGAATCTCAACTGTGAAGGAGGCAGACTCAATCAACCCAAAGAAGAAGAAGAAGAAGAAGAGCCAGAGCTCAGAGCAGAGAGGTTAAACAAAATCAAGGACAAAGTAGATCTAGATCTAGACGAGTCTAGATCTAGGCGACTATCAATCATGAGTAGAGGGTCTAACAAACTAAAATAAAGTTACTCACCAAACTTCTCCCCTTTCTCCTTAATCTGATATTGGTAATTCTAGAAATCCCTAAATGTTCGTGATCCACCATAGCACATCCATTCGATTGATTCGAATCAAACTGACATAGCGCGCGCTAGCACCAGTAGTGTGTAGATGTGGCGCATTACAGTTAGCCAATGCGTATAGCCTGAAACATCGAAGGCGGTAGTAAACAACTCGCCCTTGATATAATGTGTCCTCTGATATGATTAAAAAGCCATCGGCTATATAGTCGATGATAGAAAGGGGGATTTGCGATGTATAGTAATAATTTTGGTAAATTATAACAACAACAAACATATTACAAAGCAGCCTAAAATGTTTGGATTTTAGTATTTTAATTTTATCCTCTCCCTATAATATTCCTTTCAGAATCTTTTCTTATTTTGCAATCGACTCATTAAGATATTTTTTTTAATGGCGCCGCGCCATATACTAAAACTCTTTTAATAAAATGTTTATGAAAACAATAAACTAAGCCTATTTGAGTTGATCTGCATATTTTTTTGTTCTTTTTTATTGTATTGTTTTGTTTTTAAATCAAAAGTGGGGAGCAAGCACTCCCCTAAATCAACAATTTGTGTGGGGGCGGCCTGCCGGGGAAGCAAACTGTGACATCTGAGTTTGTCAAACCCGGGTGAACTTTGACCAATAGGGTTCATGGTCAAACTGAAATCTCACTGCGTGATTTGCACCCCATGGGCATGCAAATAGACTACAGAGAGACAGAGAGAGAGAGAGAGAGAGAGAGTGAGAGAGAGAGAGAGAGAAACGGAGCGAGAGTAGTACTGTCGAGAAGAGAGAGAGGAGAGAGGAGAGGGAGTGAAATGGAAATAGAAAGGAATGACCAGAAATAAAGAAGAGAAAAGGACATTTGAAAAGAAGCAAGTTTAAATAGAGAAAATGGATGGAAAAGTCCGGGGAGAAAGTGAAAGGATAAAATTATATGCAATATCAAAAGAAGAATACCGGGAATTCAGAACCTGCTATATGCCAATCATATTGCACAATTAATGAATTATATTGTTGAAGTACATATAACATACTGATAATTACAAAAGCCTCTATTTATTATTACCTGATAGATTTCTCATTCACATCTGTCGTATAGATTTAGTTTGCTCACACCCCCCCCCCCCCCCCCCCCTACTAAAAAGGCGAGTTTTAGAAATGCGGTGCGAGTTTAATGTTTTTAAAGAGCGAGTTTTGTGCTGGTCGAATATGCGTAAACAGCGCGAAAAACAAATGGAACTTTCGATTCAATATTTTTGTAATGCTCTGCAAATCTGTTATGGAATATGTCATTTGACTAATTTCGATACTTGGGACACATTTTCGAACTGTCAACTCCCCCTGTCAATACCGACTTATTAGACTCAAACTCGAATCAGAACAGTCAGTGGACGTGGACACAGCAAAGGGACTCGGCTCAGAGTCAGACAAGTGCAGTACAGTGCTAACGCGTAAGCCACTAGCCAGGAAGGGAATTCCCCGCCTGTCGGCTGCCTGGGCTGGGCTAGCCAGCTGGCCACCGAGGCCCTGGAGCGCTGGAGCGGCATTCGACGTCGCCCTCGCGCCTCGCGAATGGCCGTTGCAGCAACCAACGCCAGCTCAGCTTAGCTATGCCATCTATTCATTCATGTATACAGGTAAAGAATCATGATACAATTTAGGTCTCGACCAAAGAAAAAGAAAAGGAAGGAGCTAGAACTTAAAGAAGAAGAATTTAAAGAAAGAATGATAATCAATGAAGGAAGAGAGAGGTGGGAAAGAAAAAGAAGAAAGGCCGGGAGGATGTGAAAGAATATCTTCCTAATTGGGGAAAAATACCAAGTTGACCTTTCAAGATAATTGCCCATATTTTTAATTATATTATTTTTGCAGTTGACAGATTTAAATGAAAAGCTGATTTCTCGTCTGAAAAAGTTGAAGAAGCGTAATGATGCCCTGGAGAAGGAACTTTCATCAATCAACGAGCGTCTCAAGATCGAGAATCTCTTGAGGGAACACTGTAAGATCAGACATGTCGGAGTCCAGACAGAGCCCCACCCTAGGGGATCATGGAGGGTCATTAAACAAGCCCCTCCCAAAACCAAGACTCTAGAGGACAGCAGTCAAAAGACTATTGACAGGTAAATCAGCAGTTTCCTTCACAATCTTGAAATATTTTTCTACCAAGCATTGTCCTAATCTATTTTTTGTACCTGTTTCATTCCTTTAATGGACTTGTGCATCACTATATAAGGAGGCCAAATATTAACTCAGAGATTCACGCTTCATTTGTCTGCAGTGATATGAATGTTTATAACCTTTTGTTGTTTAAAAGATGTTTAATAATGTGGAAAATAGAACTTGAACTTGATTCCAAATCTTATACTTATCTGATGTCATCAACTTTTAATAGTAGCTATGTAATGTATTGAATAATATTTTTTGAGTAGTTCTGTAATTTCTCTCTATTTTTATGATTGTCACAAAAGTTTGATGAAGAATCACAAGAGTTTGATGAGGAGATACGAGAGAGAGGTCCGAGCCAACACCAAACACATAGAAACAGTCGCCTCTCTTAATGTGAGTATGGAATAAATTGCATGAATCTCTTTTTAACTTGTGCTAGAAGCTAGAAAGATAATAGAATAGTAAAATATTATCTAACTTCTTATGAATATGCTAAAATCTGACTGTTCAGTCACTGACTGATCGATGTTAAATTGGACTAAACCGAACTGTAGTTAGTCAAGATTTAAGTCCTCTGAAGCACTAAAGTGGTGTGTCTCATGTCTGCAACATATAGTAATATCATTGTGTTTGATTGTGATCAAATATTTGATTTAGATACAATCTTTTTAATTTTTCTTCTACTTATTTTGCTTTCCCTCTCATACTCCTTCATAGCTTCGTATACAAGAGCTGGAGAAACTGCTTTCATCAGCCAACGAGCGTGTTCGTCTGCTTGAATACCAGACCCAGCGATATTCCCCTCAGCCAGGGTGGAGCACTCCGAGGGGCCACGCCCAGAACCGATCCCGGACCACACCCGGTCATAGGCGGAGAAGAAGCCACAGCAGGCAATCTTACTCACCTGACAATTATTCTCAAGGTAAATACAAAAAAAATACAAACATTCTACAGTCAAACCTGTCTATAGCGACCACCCAAGGGAAACACAAAAAGTTGTCTTTGAATACAGATGGTCTTTGTAGACAGGTTACTTTAGTACATGATTCAATGAGAAACCATTTTCAAGGGAAACAAGAAATGTGGTCTTTGTAGACACAGATTTGACTGTACCCATGATTATACATCATGCTACAACCTGTATACAAAGACTACTGAAGAGAGACAAGGAAAGTGATCTCTTTAGGCAAGTGGTCTTTATGTAGAGATGCCTGTATTACATCATTGAACTTTTTTTTTTCTCAAGGGAAACAGTAAATGTGGTCTTTATAGACAGGTGGTCTTTCTATACAGGTGTTTGCTAAAACATGGATTTCACTTTATAACATTGAATACTGGTGCAGTATATTTCAGTCCTTTTTTTGGTTGAGGTTTTATTTTGTTTTGTCTTCCATTTTCCCCTTCCCATATTTGTGTGTAAATGTCATGTTTCACTATTGTTTTTTCTGCCATGCAGAGCTTGAAACCGTCAGAAAAGAAAGAGATCGACTGAAGAAAGATAAACAGAAGCTGAAGAAAGAACTGGGTGCTCTTGATGAGGTATTTACATTACAAATTATTCTTGTTGGATTACTTTAACGCTTTATTAATGTTATTTTATTTGGTGTTGACTATTTACACATATTGGCAAGACAGGCTTAGAGGAATTAATTTGTCTCCCCTCTCAGTGAGCAAAATTTTACTAACGGCTCGTTCACATACAGTATATGTAAGCCATATTAAACCACAGCAATATTTTATGTAACTGTGCGCGACTAAGGTATCTTGCATACTCATTTATCTGTGTGTTGTAAAAAATTGTGAAGTGCAGTTCACACAAGTATGCCCAAAAGACAAAAGGCCACCCCTCCCACATTAGTTTACCAACACATGTGAATAAGCCTGAAGTAATACTTACCAAATTTTACATTGATGGGAGCTAAAGAGTCCCACACCCAGGAAGCTAGGTTATAAATGAGCTATTTACCAGATGAAAATTTATTCTAATAGCTAATTTAGAAGCTGCTTATATATTAAACATGTTGAACACTAATTCTCATGTTTTCCAGAGGTTTAATACGGGAACCAGTTCTAGTTGGCAATGGGTTCATACATTGCATCTTTTTTTAATGTTCATTGTTAGGGGAAAATGACGTCAATTTCATTAGAAAAATATAATCTTTTGAACATGGTACGTTTGCTTGTTTTTGTTTTTTCTATTTTACATATCTATCAGATCTTTACATCAAACTTTCTAACGTCCCATTCACTTTTTGTCTGTGTCTTTAATATAATCCTCACAGAATTTCTTTGAGGAGATCGAGGACCTGAAATTTGCACTCCAGCAGTCTGCTCGGCTGAACCAGGAATACGACAAGGCCTTGAAGCAAGTGTGTGAGAACTTTGGAGCTCCGTTCCCACTGGACAGTCTTCCGTCTAGACCGAAGAAGTCTTCATCTGCATCAAAAAGAATGTCTTCTAGTCGTCGAACAAGATGATCTAGCTGAACACAAACTGATCTTTTCAAGTCGCTGAATGTAATCATTTGTTTCAATCAGCCTCTGAATACAAATTCATGCCTGGCTGGAATGCTCCCCAGGGAGTGGAGATTTTGCACACAGTGTGTGAGGGCAAGCACTGAATCCAATGACCAGGTAATAGTATATCTGTAAAGCGCTTTAATAGAGACGTCCGAGATGTATTAAGCGCTATATAAAATCTGAATATTATTATTATTATGAATCTAAACTGATGGTGAACTTAATGTTCTGAGAGTAATTTTTCAGAATGCAGGCATGTTCACATACTGAAGTTCAATTCCTAATAAATGAAGACATGATAACACACTGGAGGAACGTTGTTCCCCACAGTTGCTGCTAAGTAGTGGAACCTGCTACCGACCATCCTGAAGACTAACTGCTGCATCTGTGGATCAGCTCCAGAAATTCTTTAACTTTCTTCTTTTTTTGCTGGATAATATTGTTTGGTATGTGTTTATAATAAAACATTGCTAAACTGGTGTTTGCTTAAGTGGTCCCAATGCATGTTAAGCATATTGCGCTTTGCAACTGAAATGAAAAGATGTTGTGCTGAATACCTTAAAATTTTAAGTCAAGAGCCAATGCATGTAAACCTGAATGCCAAACAGAGATCTGAGTCATCAGCAAAGTTGTACATTTGATTAATAGAGTATGATGTCTCAATATCTGTATACATGAATATTTATGTTCCATGTTATGACCCCTGACCCCGGGGCAGATTATAGGCATTAGCTACGTGTACCGTAATCATGTGTACTGGTAGAACCTCTTAAGTGAGAATACTTTTGCTGACGCCTCTTTCTCAATCTGCGCATAGCGTTGTTCAGTTTCCGTCAATGCTCTGCTAGCATCTAGGCGACAGGTTTTCCTTCCTAGACTGGATAGTGTTTTCTGATCTGTTGAGCAGTAGCACTTCCACCAATTCTCCATCTGGTTCTTGTCATCCTCCTATGGCATTGATTGCATAGACTGGACATGACGTATCTCTCACCAAAAACTCTCCAATTGGTGAAGGATGAACATCCGTTTTCCTTCCTAGACTGGATAGTGTTTTCTGATCTGTTGGGCAGTAGCACTTCCACCAATTCTCCATCTGGTTCTTGTCATCCTCCTATGGCATTGATTGCATAGACTGGACATGACGTATCTCTCACCAAAAACTCTCCAATTGGTGAAGGATGAACATCCGTCACTCTCTGACATCTGACTCTTCTTATACTAAATGGTTGGAGGACTTCAACACACCCAGTTTGTACAGGAGAGTAGTTCCAACACCAGACTTACTGGCATCACACTGGATCACCAGTTCTTTCTCTGGATCATAGAAAGCTAGGATGGCCGCTGCTGTCGGGAGTCGCTTAGTCTCCTTCATGGCTGTCTCATGTTCTGTCTTCCATTCCCATCGTACTTCTTTGTGTGACAGTTTGAGAAGTGGCTCAAAAGTCTCTGACAATCTGGAAAGGAATCTAGCAAGGTACTGTATGCTTTCCTGCACTCTCTGTGGCATTAGCTGGATTGGGTAGATCTACGATGGCCTTTATCTTTGAGGGATCCGGCTTGATATGAGGCCCTCTGCACTGACAATGTGTCCTAAGAATGTCACGCTAGGTGCTTTCAGTATCGACTTCTTTCGTTTTAACTTTATCCCTCTCTATCTTTACACCTCTGATTATGGCTTCTCTCTGCTTCTTCCTTGGTGGACCCTACTCCAAACACAAATATGACATCAGCACATCCTACACATCAACACATTCTACCCCTTCAAGTCTTGCCATGGCTTGCTGCAGCTTCTTCGGAATATCTCTGACCTGACCTTTAGACCAAATGGCAGCCGTTTCCTCCTATACCTTCCAAGAGGTGTGTCCATAGTAGTTGCCATCTTCGTCCAGTCCGCAATGCAGATACCAAGACTGAGTATTGTTAGCATGACTCTTGACAAGTTGAGATACTTCTTGCTGCCAGTTGATTTGTTCTCCATGTTGGAGTCCACACCATATCTACTCTCCCATCCAGGATTACTCCATCTAAGGTGTCTACTTGGTCTCTAACTCAAGCATCTCTGTCAATGCCATCCAGCTGGAACCTATTGACGAAATAGTCAACTGTAGAGTAAGTCATGGGTACTCTGTTTGCTGGGTAGCAACCCTTGCATGTTTCAGGACATCATCTTGAAGAGAGAACTTTGTAACAATATAGTTACAAAAGGTAACAAAGTATTTCCTCACTGGAGAATAAAACTCTCACTTTTGCCCCCACAATCAGGCCTCCATCTTCCCGCTGATTTTTGCGACATTTGAAGTCAAAATATGTATACAATCAAAATAAGTTACATCAAAAATTTAGCAGAACACAATGATGGTTTGGTGACCCCGGAGAAAGCAGGGCTTATACAAAGGGGCCACCAAATTGAAATACAGATCAACAATACTTATACAAAAGAAAATCACTATTGAACATAAATATGAACAAGGAAAACAACAAAAATACACTTCTTGCAGCAGCAGCAGTCAAATCTATATCTACATGTAAATATGAGGGCAATTAGAAAAGAAGAGCGATCAAGAATATCAAGAACATATTATAAAGAAGTTAAGATTTCTCTGTTTAGCTTTTTTAATCTGGAAAGGATTGAACTGTTTTTGATATCGTTGGAAAGTTTATTCCATAACTTTGGAAAATGAATTTTACTTCACTTTGCTGATCCACTGCCACCATGTAACAATAGCTGGTATTTCACTGACATACAAACATACAAACATACATATTGATATTTATATAGCGCCTTTACAAAAACATGCTCAAAGCGCTTTACATTAGTAAATAAAACAGAATAATTATTTTGCTTTCGAAGTGCATACACTGTAAATTTGTTGTGTAAAACTGTGTAAGGTAATTCAAAAAAGTTGTGCACCACATGAACCAAGCCTGTGACAATGTAAACAAAATAACTCGGACGTTAGACATGATTACGGTCTCGTAGCCAATGCCTATAATCTGCCCCAGGGTCAGGGGTCATAACATGAAATAATCATGTATGCAGATATTGAGACATATGATGTGTGCTTGTGGGTTGTTTTTGTTTTTGTTGTTGAGAATTTTCAGCTTGTTCACTGAATAATTGGATTTAATTAAATTGTGGTTTTGACTCATGCATGAATGAGAATTTTGTCCGATGATTGATTGGAAGAATTAAGATAGATAATTCAAGATCATACTTGAAAGCTTTGATTATATCAGACAGAGAGGATGTCTTCACATCCTAGGGGTTTAAACCAAAGGGTTTGATTTGTTGATGTTGTAAGTACATATGTAATATCATAATCAAAGCTTTCAAGTATAATCTTGAATTATCTATCTTAAATCTTATAAAATGCAAATGGATGTGTACCTTTTCCACTCAATATTCTGGTTGAGCTATCAGTGGTCTTGGGTGGAAGTTTTAAAATTAAAGCCTGATGGACATGAAGTTAAGCTACCTTTAGCAAAAAAATTGGTTGACTGTTCAGGCTCATTTTGATAGGACTCGGTTAAGAGCCACACAAAACAGTGCTGTGGTTTTTGATGGATGAATGGTGACTATGGGCAACAAAGGTCCTACATCTGAGCTACCGTATGTGTTGTTAAAATACAGAAGTCTACATTTAACATCTTAAAAAACTGCCCGGTTACCGCTTCATTTCTGGACAGTGATTTATGCAAATGATATGCATATATTTTGTGAGTATAATAGCATTTACTGTTAAAGGATAGTGTAGGAGCAAAAATGTGACTTCAATATCATAAGTTTAGCAGTCAATTCCAAATATTTTGATTTCTATTATTCCCATTATATATGAAGTTTGTAACAGGTTAGATCTTCTGAGATAATATACATTTCTTTCAATATTTGGTGATTACTGAAAAACGTTTTGCAGTACGGTAGCTGCAATCAAAGACTTGGAACAGCATCCTTCTTTCCAAAAGATCCCTCAAAACTCACCTTTTTCCCCAGTGATCTATGTGATTTACTTCCTGTACTGCACCTTCCCCTATAAAAATATCTTCGAACAAGAAGGGATTGAACTATGTGGGATGTGTTTTGTAGATATTACAATGTTGTTTTTTTTAAAGTATGTTTACATTTAAAAAAATTGTAAAATTGTAATGCATTTCTGCATTTTAAGCACAAAAGATATGAAATTATGTTATTTTGAACTGGTAATGTATCAATATCCACACAAAATTCTATGGAAACCTTTCCATTTCTTTGTTTCAATAATAATTGCTCAAATAAATATGAATTGCTCTTGTGGTTCTCGCCACACTTTATGACTTTTTCACTCAAGCATTCAAACTCTGAACACAATTTTGCAAAAAAAATATTAATTTATTGTTTATTTTTCACATTTAATTGCACTTTCTCGATATATATACATATTCAGTACATATAAATTGTAATAACAATTATTATGAATTTCAAAATTCATTGAACATTGAATGAAATAAATTTGACAACATAATGCAACATTTTTATTCTTGAGTCATTGTGATTGATTATATGTAGTAATCCAGAGCTGCCAATCTTATGAATTTTGCTGCAAATGTCAAAACATAAATTTAAAATGAATTCTTTAATTTTTTCAGAAAATGTTTAAGTTAATGAGTTGCATACAAGGCTTAAAACATTTGGGTTAGAGTTTGGGGTATGTATACAGTTGGATCTCAAGTTGAAGTTCTGAAATTTTGAAATGTAGAAAATAGCAACGGAGCAATTGCACAAGCATAATTCTTAACCAATTTTGCCAGATGAATTAATTTACAACTAAGTAATTTCCTTTATAACATGGTTTCACTGTACTATCAAAATTGGGATCTACATGTATAAGCTCCACAACCTACATAAAACAATGTCCTAGAAAACAAATCAATATTAAATAATCATAAATTACAGCTTCGTCAATCTAAATCTGGAAACATCTCTCCTAGTATCGACATCTTGGCATGGAACGGCTGAGATGAACAATTGACGGCAGAGTTCAGACCTTTCTGACTCGTGTGTCTACCTCCCTCGCTGGAATCCTCCCTGATATAATTCTTGATCCATTTTAACTGATCTTTCCTACGGCTTAATGTCCTCAAGGCACGCTCTATTCTAGAGTACTCATTGGCAGCACCGCCGCAGCACGAAAGGGCGCCAATGTCTATAGGGTGTGCCTCTGTGTTGAAGATGTACCCTCCACTGCCAAGGAAGCATTTACCGTGGGGGGTGTCTACGATTTGGGCGTGGCCCCCATCTTGGTGGATGAAGTTGTCGGGGTCAAAGAGGAGGTAGAGGTACTTGAGGGTTTCTGCCAGGAAGAAAGACTCCATGCGGTTGTCCAACTTGTGGGTCTTGACATCTTTTACCTGCATTACAAAAACAAGAGTTCTTCATTTACAGACACTCAATGTTTTGGCATTTCATGATACGGCAGACTTTAAGAATATCTCAATACCAAGGATACAATGTAGATTAACACTTTTAATATCATTCCATCATTAGACAATTATTTGAACTCCTTTCAAAACTGAATGTTCACTCTTGATCTGTCATGAGCAACGTTGTATTAATACTTTGTCTTGGTGTCAATGATCTCTTTCATCTACACCATCTTGGTTCAATATGCCACTTTGTAAATACAATCTCTGCATGGGCAGATAAATGTCATTTGTACCAAGATTTTAAACCCATCAAGACAAATACTAGATTTGTGCTCATGAAAGTCATATAATCATTTATTTATTCAACAAGAGTGCATTCTCTGATACACAGGTGGAAGTAATTTTCTCAAGAGGGCAAACATGAAACTCCTCCATCACTTCGGCAGTGATCATTCTAAAAATGCACAAAGTGGAAAAAGATTTACAAGATCTGTGGATGTTTGGGGGTCATTTGTACCAAAGCTAACTATGAAATGGTCGATTCAGAGTTGTACTTTAGCCTTCATGGTTCACCAGCAAAATTATGCATTAGCAAAAACCTAATTATGACATTACGCAATGCACTTACACTGGTATAGCCACATTCTGTTTTGGTAGTTTCAATGGAAGTTAATACATCTCTACCCATCTGAAGAAGCATTGGATCTTTAGTAGCTTGGTATAAATACATGGCACTCTCCACAAACTCTGCAAATCAAGACAGAAAGAAACCAAGAAAATAGTCTTAAAAGAAGCATTGGATCTTTAGTAGCTTGGTATAAATACATGGCACTCTCCACAAACTCTGCAAATCAAAACAGAAAAACCAAGAAAATTGTCTTATAATTTTAAACAATGTATTCAATCCTTTTGTCTTGCAAAATGTTCTGTCCAAGATATGACATTGTGCATCATGTTCTGGCACTACTCGTGGTCAAGTCCAAGCTATTTTGTCCCATACATGTATTCTGTCGACAACATTTAAGCGGTTAGTATATCTAATCATTTTACTTGGGTCAATAACCCTGCTAGAGCAGTAGATTAGTAGATTAGACCATAAATATGAAATGAAATGATGAATCTCATGAGCTGAGTACAAACCTTTTGAATTCAAATGTTAACTATTACTTTGAGGGTCTGGATTGACTATCTCATCGATTCTTACACGGTGATATGTATATAGCATTGATTCAATGTTTAAGCTGCTTCGAGGGCCCGATGACCAAGTTTCAACTAGAAGATTCGTTTTTCTTTTCTTCATACATCAAAATACACAGTAAAATACACCTGTGACTTGAAAATTGCACAAATCGACCTCTATTAACAGTCGCACATATGGACCATTAACAATGAAATGAAAGAATGCCTCCTTTCCAAATATCTCAGAGAAAGATTTCACAGCTAAAAAATATATCAAGGGACATTATCTTGAAGAACTCGCAAATAACATATAGATAAAAAAAAGCTGCAACATGAAAGCATATCTGTTACCTGGCCTGAGTGGATAGCCCTCTCTCTTATCTACAGCCTTGCTGTTGACGATGTTGTAGAACTCTGGCAGGAAACCCAGCTGACGCCAGACCTGATGATTGTTGTGTAATGTTTTCATGCCGCTGTCTATCTTTCCTATCAGACTCTGATGGAAAACAAAGCATGAGACAAACAGACATCAGGGAACTGTTTGGCAAACATGTACAAGACAATTGGGAGGACAAACATCAATTTAGTACACAGTTATACCAATCAAAGACGGAAGCCATGAGACAACACATGTGTGGTAAAAATTATAAGTTAATAGATACCGGTAATGGTGAAACAAAAAGCACTTGATAGAAAAAATACGACCAACAATACGAGATAGAGTAAATCACAGTTATTCAAGAAAGAAAAATATAGGAACAAGTTAAAAGAGGAAAGGAGGAATAATTTGAAATACACAATTTAAAAAAATTATGCATATTCACAGTCACAGAGGGTAAAACATGATGATAATCATACTTTCCGATCATAGTTACGAGGACTACATCTTATCTACAAACTGAATGGAATTAACCCCAGAAATAACATATTTAGGTGAAAGACAAAAACATGAAAGAAAGATAGACAAATGATAAGAAAATTACAGAAAACAGAGAGGTATATTGTAGATACAATGAACAGAAGAGGAGAGAAGGGAAGAACATAGGATGTTTAAAAGAGAGAGAGAGAGAGAGAAAGAGAAAGAGAAAGGTAGCAGATTAGGAGAAAAAACCGAGCATAAATAGAAAATGAATTTGCAACTAACTAAGATAAATACAAATTGTCAGAGAGAAAATCAACACAGACATTGATCTTACCAGGAGGCCTGGCCAATATGCGTCTAGTGACTGAAAGACTGGCATGGTGACCTGACCTTTCATCATGTTGACCCACATATACCAGTCATCTTTCTTGGAGTACTGGTAGATCACTTTCTCATATTCTGAAATGTGAGAGAATATAAATGAAATATATAAATAAATGATATTTAGAACAAATCTACAAGTCCCACTCTCCATCTAGGTATGGTAAATGGATACCTGGGAGGAATTTATTCCCTGAATGTTTGCAGGGCCTTATGGCAGCTGGGTTTAATCAAGGGGGGGGGGGGGTCATAGTACTTTGTTGGTGCCTTGAGCTTCACCTAGAATGGATATGTGCACAACATTAATCAGGGATGCCAGTTTTCAGGCAATAGCCGGAATTCAGGCCCTGGCTAGTTATTTGCAGACCATAGTTTAGGCTTTTTTTGGTACAAAATAGCTAATTCTAGGTGATTTTCAGGCCCTCTGATCAATTCTAACTGGCATCCCTGATTAATGTATGTATTAATACTGTTATTAACTTGAGATAAAGCATATCTTCAAATGAACATCATAACAGACTTGTATTGACATAATAATTTGATAACATACCGGTACCCAAAGATCTTATGTCTTTGTCTAGTCAAAAAGAGGGCAACATGCAATGACCCTAAAATTAAAAAGAATGATAGTTCTTGATGTCAAGGCAGAAGACTTCCTTTGACCAAGTATTCTATTAGGAGTCTCCTCTCCTACACCCCTACCTAAATATGATGACAAAGGACTCTACTGCTCACCTTTATGAATATCCATACAGTATTAAAGGTAAAGACCAGTATTGGAAACGCCCCAATTTCAAAAAGTGAAATGGAAGCTCTCATTACCAATCATGTGAAAGAATATGTTTTGACTAATACATGATGATGAAAAATTTGCCGGAAAACCGCCTACTAATTCATATATTTGGTAAATTTGTTTCTCTCATGGTCTGTGAGAGATATAGGGTAGTCCCATATACATCTTTCTGTGTATAGTGCTTGTAACTTTACGAAGAATGGGCCAAATTTCTTATCATTTTGATGATTCCAGAACCTTGCAGATGCTAGATGCTAGATGATCAACCTTTTCTGATCGATTCCACAACGTTTCTTTCACAATGCAATCGCATGACCATAACTGGTCTTTACCTTTAAATTATAAACAGAATACTTACTTTCAACAAATATGTGAGGTAGGAGCCTATCCCTGCACCGATGCCTAAATGTGACTACCGGTAACAATTCTACTACTCACCACTAAACATATTCATGAGTTCTTGGTTTCCTAGAAGAAGGCTTCCTTTCACCAAGTATTCCAGGTAGGAGTCGACTCCTGCACCAATGCCTGAATCCAGTGCAGTCCACTTCCCAGTTTGGATGTTCACATGGTTCCCAACCTTTATAGTAGACATTCAATGAAACATGCAGTCAATGATTACTCCCAACGTTCTGATTATCTACATAGTTTCAAGCACGCATTGAAGGAAATTTCAACAGATAAAACCATACTTTCAGCTCAAGTCAACATTTTACAAGATATCAACTTTAAAATTGAGAGGTTTTTTTTAATGATATAAATATTTCGAATAAAAGTAAAGAACTGATCTTGCAGTGAAGAATTGTCAATAACATGAATGTTTTGAATCAAAGTTAAGAACTCGTTTCTCAAGGTACTGAATTCGTGGTGTTGAAAATTCATTGCAAGATAGTTTCTCAACATTGTTCACCAAAATATTGTCATGGCATTGCTGTTTATTTTAAGTCATTTGTTGACCTGTGCTCAATAGAGATACTTGGCCTTGACTGCTTTGTTGTGTTTGTTCCAATATTATATACTTGAGTAGAGATGAGTCAAGTATACATTATCAACAGTACACATCAAATACTTTTTATTTTCCCTTTGAGATATTTGAATGAGTGTCCCATAGAAAAGAAAATTGTTTGAATAAGCAGCATATCATCTGTTTGAAGCCATGGAGAACTTAATGCTGTGTAAATGATACAGGGTTGGTTGGTAGGTTTTACCTGACTGCTAAGAAAGCATGTGTATGCTTGTAGGTAAGCAACCAGGGGACCGACGGCTTTTAGTCCTCTCCAAGGAATTTGCTATGGAGTATTAATGCCTAATGCTACGGTCACAAAGGTTTGTACGAACGATGCATTCGTACCAATCTCTCTGTTTTTCCATAGTCTTCCTGAATTTCCTTGGTCTGAAAATCGTTCGTACGGTGTTTGTAGCAGTTCGTAATGGCATATGTGACTGAGGCTTTACCAAAGAGCACAACCCGGGACCTCCTGGTTACCAGACCACTGCTCTACCATTAAGCCATTGCGCCTCACTACATTAATGCCCTTCTGGCTCCAAACAGATGATATTGAGGGTTCGGTGACACAAAGATGTAACTCCATATTTTTTGTATAAAATGAGTATTTGATATCAAAATGTTAAGAAAAATGTGGGCTTTCCAGGAAACACAAAGACATAACTCCACCCAACACCCCATTGAAGTCAATGGCTGGTAAAACATAGACTTAGCTCCTTAAGGCCCAAGTGCTCAGTGACACATAAACTACTTTTTCTCAAAATGGAGTTTTGTCTTTGTGTCACTGACCCCTCGATATATAATGTGGGACACCAACTTACCATTCCTATATCTGACTTGAATCCCCAGAGAGAATCCAGGGCCCTGAGAGCCTTCTCCTCAAAGACAGGATCACCGGTCAGTCGGCTCAGGGTACCAAACTCTACTATGAAGGTCCCAATCCCAGCGGTGCAGGACACCGCCGTCTCCCCCTTGGGTACCCCATGGAGCAGGTTCACTGTCCCATAAGGCATCCCGGTTGGTGTGTCAAAGGCTTGAGAGAGAGAGAGAGAGAAATATTTGATTCCATTTAACTTTTTATCTTAATCCCACAATAGAATTGGCTTTATTCATGACCTTTTTGCATGTTGATGGTATTCGCAGGATAAGCAAAGATCATTAGCATTATTCTAAGTTAAATCTCAACAACAATTTTTTTAAATTAGAAGTAGACATATCATTACCAAGTTAGCAATATGCAGAGTATCGCTCTGCTGACTATAATATAAATGTTTAAGGCTCTTCAATTTTGCAGGTAACACCAATATATTTAACATCTCCAAGTTTACGCCTTTAAAGTGAATTTCAAGGACTAATGTTAATGCCCAAATTTTTATGAATTTCATCGATAAATTGGAGTTTACATTTGAGAACTAAGAGTTGCACATTACAATAGATACTGAAAATTAATTGGGGCAATCTGATTATCTATATCAAAATTAACATAAATAAGCCAAAATAAGCCCCTGATACCACAAAATAAAGCACACTACCAGAACAAATTAAGGTTATTTGTTCTTTGTACAGCAAGCGACTCTTCGCAAGAAGCCATCTGAACATGGATTCTAATATTGACGAGCCAACAAGACTAACAACTTCAGATATTCTTCACATTATACCAGGTGAAACTGAAGAAATGGGATATGAATTTTCAAGCTATAACAAGGTAACATATATGCTTACCTGGGAGTAGTTTCCTAGCAACTGTTTCAGCCATTTCCAGAAGGGGCCCCTGACAAGGCCAACCGGTGGGCACATCCATGCCTGCCCTCTGGGAGAGGAGATGAGAGGATAAGAGACCTCCAACCACTGCAAAGAAACACAAAACAAAATATCCCCTTACTAGAAGTCAACTTATCAGTGATTAACAAAAATGTCTTTTAGTTCCTAAATCAGACAAAGAATACAGGAAAACATACAATATATATACAAAAGTGCGAGAATTCTCAACTCTGACATATACCTATATATCCCTTTTTTTTCTTTTTTCTTTTAAATATTGAATGATTTTATTCGTCACAAAATGGTACACTGCCTACTTCTGGATAATATGACCATAATAAATGAGATGATCTATACGCAAGAACATGTAAATCTTGATTACTTTACAGTTCAAATCATCAAAGACATATAAAAACTGGAAAGATTTGATTATTCTTATACATATTCTCAACAGTCTCATTGCCTCTTACTGATCAAAGTTTCCCTCAATGAAGCACACAATTCTTAGTATCACCTTTATATGTAACTCTTTAACTTGCTGATAATTTACTCAAGAGAACTTTACCTCTTATATTGGTCTCAAAAACAGAAACATTGAGGTCATCCTCAAAGGATAGATGATCGACGAGTAAATTGGCAACTCTCTGAAACTCTGTGTGGTTTCCCATGATGGCCAGTGTGTCCAAGGTGTCAACGAGGGTCAAAGAATAGCTGCGTTAGGATGAAACAAAGCAAGTGGAGTGGCAATACACTTCAAGACAAATTCCTCTGGGCTTTATTTTATTAAAGATATACCGTGTGAGTCAAAAAAAAGTTTACACCTAGAAAATTGCTAATTATTTTTAAAATCATCTATTAATAGTAACTTATTATACATCTTAGGAAAGAGTGTTTTATCCCGAATCATTTGGTATCATTGTTGTGTGGTATGCGTTCACGCTTGGATGAAGAGGAGGCATTGTTTGTGAGAGTGCAAAAATCGACATACGTGCATACCACACAAAAGCGATACCAAATGATTTTGGATAAAATACTCTTTCATAAGATGTATAATAATTTACTGTTCATGGATGATTTTTTTAATAATTAGCAATTTTCTAGGTGTAAACTTTTTTTTGACTCACACTGTATAGGGTTAGGGTGAAGGTTTCAATTGGGTTTTAGGGTAGGTTGAGGGTTAAAGTTGGGGTTAGATATAGTGTTCGGTCAAGAGCTGACATTCGGAGCAATTGTCGCCAGAGCATTTTTCTCCAGAAGCTTACACAAATTATCATAAAATTCCAAGGGTAAGTTACATTCCAAATATTTGTTTTTTGGGGGGAGGGGGGAATTCCTAAATCATCTACATATCATCACACATAAATTTCTTCTTCATAAAAGATGGTGGACATAAAACCTGAATAAAAAGATTTTACAATTCATATCTGTATCCAACTTCTTCGATGGGAAGAGAGAATATGGGGATATATATATATATTTTTTTTACCTGCCCCATGTATCTGCACCGTCACAGGTCAAAGGTTGAAGTTCATCATAAGGGAAAGCATGCTCCAAGTAGCTGTCGTATGCAAACTGGAACATTGCCCTGACCTTCTCCCTGCATTGAGAAAAAAATATTGTTGTATAAGTGTTGTAATCTTGTGAGTTCATGATGAAAATAAAATGTGGTTCAGTAAAATTCTTGGTCAGTTACTCTCAAGATATACTGGTTATTGCCTCTTTCTTTCAACCAACATGAACATCACAGCAACAACTCCTGTCTGTTCTGATAGGACAAGCCCTATGTTTGTCTCTGTCTACCATTACTGCCTTCACCTTTGACCTTTGTTCTTTGGTCTCCTATATTGCAGTTATCGGATACCCCTAAAGTGACAATTCTAAGAATGCCATTTGTCCCCTCTCTTCAATTTTCATCTGTCCTATCTATACACAAGACTGTTTATAGATAATCATTCCCAACAAGCCTCTAGGCTTTCTTGAATACTAACTTCATTTTTATAGATCTATACAAATGTGATTCATCCACATGTAGATCTATGTTTGTTGATGGTCTGTCTTTGTTTTAATTGTTTTTAAAGAGAGTGATATAAAGTTTGTTTATCTAGTTGTCTTACCTATACAAGGGTAGCTCATCTGTGATATCACCCCTTGATATACATCCTAAATAGGTGACCATCAGCAGCAGTGGCATAAAAACCACACTCACGAACGAGACATACATTTTCTTCTGCTTCTCGACCTGAAAACAAATGATTAAATAAATACTAAAATAATAATGAAAAGAAAAAATTAAACTAGTTCAAAAGTTCAGTGACACAACTCCGCCTTTTCACTGAAGTAAAGCAGAGCTACCACTCAAGGTAATCTTGGCCTTTTAAGCATCTTTCTGAAAGAAATATGTCACTCCTGGGCCCTGTCTTACAGAGAGTTGCGATTGATCCAAATCAATCGTAAGTCCTCCAATCCATCGCAAGGTTGCAGTCTCCTATCTCTTTTGTACAGTTGCGATAGCTTTCAATCGCAACTAATTTGTGATTGATATCGGCTCTTTATAAGACAGGGCCCTGGACTCTTCAATATTCCGCAGATCGAGTCAACAAGCCATCAACTTGTGAGCCCCTTCTGACATCGCCTCGTTCGAGCGCTTTCGCTTCACCCAACTGAAGTTCTTGATTCTTCCCATAATCTCTTTTGTGCCAGCGAACACCATCTCGCATAAGTAACTGTAGGCTCATATTACACTCTCAAACTCTCAATTCTCGACTCCGTCTATAATAACTATAATACATGTCATTATTCATTTGTGCTTATTCAAATAGGTCTATGTGCATTCTTCATCATGTTCATCTGTCATCATGCGTGTCGACTTTCATACTTTATTGCATCATCACTAAATCAGCAACACTTCATTGAACTTAATTAGAGAACGTGCAAGTTTGTAAAGCGCATCATATTATCATTCATAGACATATTACTGCTAGCTAGTGCAAGTAGTTGTACCGCCATTCTGACGGCAGCTCGACGAGTAACCAAGTGCAACACGGAGCTTCGCCCGCGCCCCTACCGTGGTGAGCGGAGCTCAGCTCCGCTGATCTTCTCCGACACGGTGGCGCATTATCTTTGCTACAATTTATACCTGAAATATTCATCATTAGACATAACTTCACACTCAATTCTAAATATAACACATCGATCTAAAATTACCTATGTATAGTTTAATATATTTTACTTCATATCTTGAACAAGAATCAATTAAAACGGTGAGTATTCGTACCTACAGACTCGAAAAGGGCTGGCTGGCTAATAATTAGTACGGTATCGTATAAGTCTCATGAAAAGGGAAAATATATTAAGATGACAATCATTCTCACAATTCTAAAGGAGGATTTCTTAAAATTCTTATTATTGTTCTAAAGATGGAGGTAAAGTGATGGATACTCAGAGTACCGATGTGAAAGAGAAGAGAGGGGGAGAGGGAGAAGAAGAAGAAGAGAGGGGAGAGGGAGAATAAATAGAAGAGAGGGGGGGAGAATAAATAGAAGAGAGGTTAGAGGGAGAGGAAATAGAAGAGAAGGGAGAGGAAGAAGAAATAGAAGAGAGGGAGAAGAAATAGAAGAGAGGGGGAGAGGGAGAAGAAATAGAAGAGAGGAGAGAGGGAAAAGAAATAGAAGAAAGGGGATCGAGAGGAAGAAGAAATAGAAGGCGCGAACGCAGGGGGGGGGGGGTCGAACCCCACCCCTCCCCATCAAATTTGTTTGTGTGTGTGTTTTGGAGGAAACCCCTCCCCCTGTTACACCTATAAATGTAATAACGCCCACAAATGTAATAACGCCCACAAATGTAATAACACTTTACCCACAAAATTAATGTTATAACACCCAAAAATGTAATAATTTCACCTACAAATGTAATAACCACTTTACCCACAAATGTAATAATTTTGAATCACCCACAAATGTAATAATTTTGAATCACCCACAAATGTAATAATGACTTTACCCACAAATGTAATAAATTTGAAGGGATATTTTGTCGAATTTGTTCAAAACTAAGACCTCACCATCTCATTCCTGTGGAATAACATGGGTATAGTGCGTAGTTTTTCCTCCAGACCCGGTTATTTCAAAAGAAATATAAATTTAAACAAATCTTCGAAACTAAGACCCACCATCTTATTCCTCTTTTTTTTTCATTCGAAAATAAATAACATTATTACATATGTGGATACAACACGTCACAAATAAATGATTGGTCCCGCGGTCACACGAACTGACGAATCAGTCAAAATGGTCCATATAATTATATAACACACAAAGGAGGGACCGATTCGATGGTTCGTTGACCGTCGACGATTTTTTTTGTTGTTGTAAATATTCTAACGCCCACAAATATCCTGGAATTCAATGTTCGTAGAAAAAAAAATCGAATAAGTGACCTTAAATGTATTTAAATATTGACGCTGATTGTTTTATGCATGTGATTATGAAATATGTTCACGATATTTATGTACGCTATTAGTGACATTGAAACGTTGGGCAACTACCCCCAGACATACCCCCCGTCAAATACCCCCGGACATCTAACCCCAGCCAACTACCCCCTGGACATCTACCCCCCCCCCCCAATCCAACTATCCCCTTCCAAATACCCCCAGCCAACTACCCCCACCCTGAAAACTACCCCCGGACATCTACCCCCATCCAACTACCCCCGGGCAACTACCCCCAACTACCTTAATTTGCTCGGGGGTAGATGTCCGGGGGGGTAGTTGGAGGGGGAGTTAGTTTTCCAGGGGGGGGGGGGGTTGTTGGATGGGGTTAGATGTCCGGGGGTAGATGTCCGGTGGTAGATGTCCGGGGAGGGGGTAGTTGACTGGGGGTAGATGTCCGGGGGGTAGTTAGCTGCTTTGTTACGGGGTTTTAGTTTTGAACAAATTCGACAAAATATCCCTTCAAATTTATTACATTTGTGGGTAAAGTCATTATTACATTTATGGGTGATTCAAAATTATTACATTTGTGGGTAAAGTGGTTATTACATTTGTGGGTGAAATTATTACATTTGTGGGTAAAGTGTTATTACATTTGTGGGTGTTATTACATTTGTGGGTAAAGTGTTATTATATATGTGGGCGTTATTACATTTGTGTGTAACACCCCCCCCCCCCCTCAATTTTTTTTAATAAAAAAAAATGTGCTAAAGGGCGACCAAAAAAAGGTGACCTTACCCACATTCCCCCCCCCCCACTGAACGAAATATCGGTCGGCCAAATTTTCAAATTGTCGGGACAAAAAAAGTACCCTTACCCCCCCCCCCCCTCTCCATTTCTCAGATGCAGGGGGAAATTTATTTCTCATCAATGCCAACTTCTTTTCCTCCAATTCATCTTCTTTGAAACTGCGTTTAATTTCATCTACGGTTATAGATTAACTCCGTTCTCTTCTCATGAAAATCAAATACTCTTGACCAAAATTCAAAAGTGATTTACCAATTGCTCCTTTCCGTTGATTATTCCAAAATATATCTCCTCTCAACTATAGGTGTGGATATGAAGTCAAATATATTATTACAGACGTTCCATATCAATTTTTTTTTTTTTTTTTTTTTAAATGGCGATATGTCTTCTTTTCCTTTTTGCAGAAGCAACACACATTAGTTTGGGCAATTCCAAATAATTCCATACAGTAGTTTAAATCGGAACTCCCTTAATCGGCTATTTAATTTACCTTGTCTTAGTCTCTTAAAAACGTTGTTAATTTCTTTAAAAGAAAAACCTTGTTGATGCATTTAGTGAATCGATCGCTAAATAAAGAAAACAAAATCAAGGATTTTATACATGCAATATCTTGTAAATATTTATGAATATAATTTGCAAATATATTCAGTGGATACAAGAAAATATTTTAACAACCACTTAATTCTGCGAGACATTAGTCTCAACAAAAGTGGTTGAATTAAGGATCACCTTGCGCTACCAAAAGCTTTAAGTGTGAATGACCATGCATGGGAACTTTTATGTGATTTTGTGTCTCAATGTTACCCCTTTCCCTCTTTCTTGTTCTCCCCCATTTTTCTCCCTTCTACCCACCCACCCCCCCCCCCCCCCCCCTCCCTTCCTCATGCGCTCTCTTTCTCTCTCTCTCCCTTTCTCTCTCCCTCTCTCTCTCTCTCTCTCTCTTTCTCTCTCCTTCTTTCCCTCCCCCTCTCTCTCTCGCTCTTTTTTTATCTTTTCATTCTACTTTATTTGTTTAATTCAAATTCTTTCGTCCACTCCTCTTTTCCTCTCCTACGGAAGCCTATAACTATAATCGAGCCTTTTCAGTCAGTTCCCCTACTTTATCCATATTTGTATTGCATCGATGTGAAATCTGTTAATATATATATTAGGAAAAATATATTTAATGGAAATACTTCTCCGTATAAATAGTATTTGTTTTCGGGGAAATTATTGTCCTATAAGAATACTTATCCGGGTAGATGTAAGGCTGTAAAGATGTCCGAGTAGTAAGTGTTTTAAGTACGGGCGAAGGTAGGTAAAGTCATCCATCTTTAATTTGCTGTGTTGTTGTCGGGTTTGTGGGTATCGCTATATCAGTGAAAATTTACAGAAACGGAAAATATATTGTCATCATTTGTCATCTTTAATGCAACGTTTAATAGACAACTGAAAAGAACCATTTTCAAGGGGGGTTGATGATAAAAACATGATATTTGCTGTTTCTAGTTGTAGATATTATTACTTCGTCGTTCGATATAACTGAGCATTATCTTATCTGTAAAGCACATTTACATCCCCTTATTATCCCAGGGGTTCTCAACCCTTTTTAACTCGAGGCAAACTTTGGCTTAATTAGATAAAAATGACAACTATATAAACGTGATAAAAGAAAATAGAGAAATAATTGCATAGTAATTCAAGTTCTGCCATGATGTCAGTTATATGTTCAGTTGGGGGGGGGGGTGGTAGTGAGAAACAATTTTTTTTTTTTTTGCCCCCGCAAATGTGAAAATCGCGCCGCCCGATTTTTCGCCCAGTGGGGGGAAGGAGTATTCATTTGTTTCCAAAATAAATTGAGGGGGGAGTTAACCCCCAAAACACCCCCCCCCCTGCATACACACCTGACTACACTTCTTATTCGTATAATAAACACATAAATCTTTGAGAAAAAAATAACATATATAGTTGAATTCCTGCTTTGCCATGTAAGATCAATCACGTTATTTTTTTATTTAGCCCTATTCTGTTTTCAAAAATGTGTTTTGGCCGACCTCGCGGCCCACCTGACAGAGCTTCACGGACACGGCCCACCGGTTGAGAAGTGCTGCCCTTACCGTGATAGGCCCCTACATAACACACTTTTAGTCTACAACAACACCATGTCACCGATCTGCATTAACTAGTCGACCCGATGTCTTTCTCGAAGGGACGATTTCGACGAACAAATTTGCAGACGACGTACATCCCCTCGAGCTGAGCAAACAACGCGCGTGAATAAAAAAAATCTCGTGTCGTCATCACTCGCCTCATCCAACACTCGAGCGGGAAAAACGAGACTATGCAAACCGCGTGCGACGAGAGAAATTTTCCGCCTCCGGGAGGTGATCGTCTGTTTGAAGAGGCTTGATTTGCATTTCTCAGAGGGGTTTTGAATTTTAAGAGGATCGTGTTGTGCAGTAGTAGTTTTCCATGGTTTAGACGAAAATGTATAGTAATGGAAGATTCTAAATGATCATAGACATAATAGCCAGGGCAAATTCCCTGAATCCGCTAACTTGAAATATCCTAAGTCAGGATACCACCCCCCCCCCCCCCCCGGCCAGGCGCGTAGCCACGGGGGGGCACGGGGGGGCACGTGCCCCCCCTAAAATTTCCAGGATCGGTTGAAATTTTGTAGATCCCTTTTTTTGACCTCGATCGATTACATGTATGTGCCCCCCCAAACATCAAACTCTGGCTACGCGCCTGCCCCCCCCCCCCCCCCAAAAAAAAAAAGAAAAGAAAAGAGAACGACATTTAATTTAGATTAATATGGATAAAACTTATATTTGGTCTCTGGTTTGCTAATTATTTCAATCATAGTCGGCGCTCCAGAGGGCGTCCGAAAGTCGAAAGTGCCCGTTTACCCTTCATAAGATTGCCCTTCTCCTTTTAAATATTAAGTGTCATTTTCCTCTTCTTTTACACGCCCCTTTATATTGAAAAGTGCCCCTTTTCTATTGTAATGGGTGCCCGTTCCCCTTCCGAAAGATGTCTTTTTTTCAAATGTAAGAAATCAAAATCTTGAAATATCATTCTTTCTTTATGACAATGTACTTAGAACCCACCACTGTTTTTGTCCGAGGTGGGTTTTTTATGATCGTGAGTTTTCTGTTTTGTGATCAGGGGCGGACACCAGCGATAAACAAGAAGCTATCATCATCATCATCATTATTTTGTTGCGATAGTATATTTATCTTTACCTTTACCCGAGTTTCTCTTCTTTGAGTAGCTTTTGTTTTGCATCCATTTTGTACTTGATTATGTCTTCGACATAGTTTCACTTTGTATTTGATATACATTTAGTATCTCCCTTGGGCAGAATGATAGAATAAAAGTGTATTAATATTATGCTAATTCACGTGCCACTCGAATGGACTATCTGCCTTAAAACTTACGTTATGTCAATGATTACCACGTATTTTTAAATATATTGTCATGGATATAAAGAAACCAAGAAACAAACAAGAAATAGGTTTGTAAAAAATAATATCTATTTTCATTTAATATGCATAAGGAGTACATCAACTACATTTTAATGTAGAATATAAAACAGCACTATATTACAGGTGTAAAAAAGCTCTATAACCATATATATTTATGCTTAAATCTTATATACACTTATATAATCTGATGATAAATGCAGCTCTAATGGACGAAACTGAACACTTTACAAAAATGCTTTGAATTCATGGAAATCACGGAGGGCACATTCTAACGAAAAGCAACTCAGATAATAAAATTACTTCTAGTGATCATTCGTTTATTTTACAAATATAAAAACTATATGCTTTCTTGAAAAGAAACAGTTATGACGGTGATGATGGTACTACTACTACTAATGATAATAATAATAATGATAATAATAATAATAATAATAATAATAATAATAATGATAATGGTGATAATGTTAATAATGATAATATTAATAATGATAACAATAATAACAAATAATAATACTAACAATATTAATTATAAAAAAACAATAACAATGATAGTAATCATCATCATCATCATCATAACTAATTAATAATAGTAATAATGATAGGGTTTACAAACTGCTTCAACCCAGTTACCATCTGACTATAAGGGGCTAAAGCATTCAAGGATTTCAGGGTGACTACTGTATTCGTTTACTTCACCTGGGTGGAGAGTGGCAAATGTACTTAGTTGATATGCCTTACTGGATCACTTTAACATAACAAGAGGAATGCTAGCAATTACACACTTACATTTGAGTATATTGATACATTATTTCAAAGATACATAACAATTTCTTTCCTTTAATAGTCTGTTAACAAAACAACGCACCACTATCTTCTTTAACTGTATGGGTACACAAGTGCATTTCTCATTTTTTTAACGAAAACTGTATTGATAATAGTGACACTAACGAATTCGAGTCACATTTTCTGCTGAGCTTTATTTCGATGAAGTGACGAAATCTGATTAATCAGATGCGATCACTAGTTTCTTTTCATTTTTTTATCGATAATTTCGACAGTGACGTGCACTTGCAAGTGATTTTATTTGAGAAAAAAAAATAAAGTCAGGGTCACATATAAAGGTAGAAAAAATTCCTCGTTTTTTTGGCTCTTTGAATATCAACTTGCTTTTCGTTTATTGAATGAACAGAAGAGAAGGAACATTTTGTATGTGCCTTGACGCAAAAACGGTATCTTAATCTCAATAACTTTCCAAGTCAGTGGCAATCTCTTAGTTTTCCTTTTGTGATTATTTTTAAATCATGGTACATATCGTTTTATTGGGGCATGCAGTTGACTTAAATAACGAACTGTTACTTTGTCATGTATCTTGAAGCATCTTAATCTTTTTTTATTTTATTACCTTTCACGTTTCGACGTTAAAATAATCTAGCGAAGCCCCAGTTCATCTCAACCTTTGCCCTTCTAACTCCCAAGTACAATATAAATATAACTCCTGGCAACATAAAAGATAACTCCAGCAGTAAATGAAATTAATACGGACGGGAAATGTACAGATGCAGCATCCAATATATGATAAATGCTTTTTATTACTCATGTAGTTGGCTAGTAACATAGGCACCCTGCTAATAGTAATTTACAATATTGCTCTTTGTCCTTTAATTATGGGGAACTTTTTGCTTGTTATGACAGATAAAAGCATATATGCAGGATTTATTGAATAAAGAACAGATATAATTTTTGTGTTTATTATAAGTTTTGGTTAGTAATTTTTAGTCAGACAATGGTGCGCTTAGACACACTTGTATGAAGCGCCTAATAAATGTCGTGTATTATTATTATTATTATAACACGGTTGCACACAAAAATTAAAAAACAAAAAAATAAAAATAATCAACTTAGATCTGTTTTAAAAGGGAGCGAACACGGTTGCAAAGAAACAACAACAATATCATCAATATTACGTAATAGGGTAGTGACATTGCTATTTAGTTGATTTCTTCACTGCCTTTGCAAAAGATTAGTGTTTCAGTTATATTTCATCAATCTAATAACGAATACATTTTGATACCAATATTGATTCTTGTACATCGTAATAGTCTGGTTTACGTTATGGCGCTTATCCATGGCGCCAATAATAGATCGGCCATAAATTATGACCGTTGCACACGAGGCGTCATTTCATTGCTGACGTAGAACTGCGTCATCGACTGACGTGGTGTTTGACGTGCCATGTGAGAATGACGTCATACATTAAGTGAATGCAAAATAAACCTTAGCAAATATTGCGTTGAAATATATTGGCGTAAGGGCCAATTGTCCTCATTGGTCGATGAACGCTGGGAATAACGCAAATCGAATCGACGCCGCATGTAAAACGCCTAGATTGTTAAACCGTTTAATGATTCGACTGAACTCTAAGTAAAAGACCATTATACAGCATCCTTATGGAAGAGTAATTGACATAATATTATAATTAAACTTTTGCCGGAAATATATTTTTGGAGTTGATTGAACAGGCAATTACTCCCACATTCGGGATAAACAGAGAATTTGACACTGTGATAACACCCTGGTTAAAGGACAGCCCAGAGAAGACTTGATTGTCGTGATCAAAGTCCCATTTCATAAAACTCACTGTTACAAGCTACTGAAATATTTGCATTAGATTGACTGAGCATATTTCTTGTAGAATTGTGACAATAATAATAATAATAATAATAATAATAATAATAATAATAATAGTACATTTATAGAGCGCAGAAACTATCCAACATTAGGTATATATTTTACTGCGCTACAAGAGCTCCTGATATGCTTAGATTTACGGTACAGTTAATTAAAAAGAAGTGTTTTCAGTTTTGACTTAAAGACGTTTACAGATGGTGATTTCCTGACTTCAAATGGCAAGTTATTCCAGAGTTTTGGGGCTGCACAAGCAAATGCTCGATCACCTAGCGTTATTTTTGTTTTGATAGATGGGATCTGTAGCAACAAAGTATCTCGGGAACTGCGCAAGTTGCGATTGTGTTGATTAGGTTTGAAATTCAACAGTTCTTTGATATAAGTGGGAGTTTGACCAAGAAGTGCTTTATATACAATCAGCAAGATTTTGAATGTTATTCTCTGGCGTACTGGTAACCAATGTAGATTTCTTAAAATTGGGGTGATCCGTGTGAATTGTTATTGATGAAAATTTTGTGAAACAGGGCCCAGATCCGTTCACGGTTAACCGCTTCAAAAACACGGCGTGGCAAAATGAAATGTAAAGTGCGCCTCTCTTTCTCGTATTTGTATCTCATAACATACAGATCACAGAGGAACGTACAGTAAGGGCAAATATAGAGGCCAGCGGAGGCAGTTTAGGCTATGATTTTCTCAAAATAATACCTCTTTCCTTCTATTTCACAAGCATAATTTTGCCGATTTTAGAAGCGGTTACCCGGAAACGTCTGAACGATGTTTTTAGACGTTGGTTGCTTCAGTTGTCGGAAGATTGGGGTCGTGAATATAACTCCGTCGTCTGCCAACGTCGCGACTTTTCGATCTGCAACAACATGACGTCAGCCTAGAAATGGCGGCTTTGTCGGTGAAGAGGAATTTGTATGTGGAAGCTGCCGAAATCCCTGCAACGATGGGTGACACCCAGTATACCTGGAGAGAGGGCAAATGTATCAAGAAAAGTGAAAAAGAATTAAGAGCTGAAGCGGTAGACGAAAATAATCATGTAAAAAGTTGAAACGGTCATACGTTAATAATTGTTCCTCGTTTACCCAGTGAACCAGCGTCTGTATACGGTTCTCCCTGAGGACCCCGCAATCATATAAGATATAACCCCAACTTTAGCCGAACTATCATGAAGCGGGGCTCAAGCATTCTAGAAATTTCTTCCAACCAGGTACCCATCTACTACTCCTTTGTAGAGAGTAGTAAATGTAGATTTATGTCTTGCATACAGGTTTAGTTTAGTCCAGAGATGTATCCGCTAGATCACGAAACCTCTTCTTTCGATACGATGCATGATCATATTCTAAAAATTGCTTTGATATTGCTTGAAAACTTTAAAAATCTAAATAGCTGAATATCTGAATATAATTAACATGAAACTGTTTAGTGCTGATTTCTTTTTCATAGATGACTGTTCAAATATTATTTTCTTTTATCATAGGTATGTCTTTATATAAAATGTAGTAATTGTATTAAATCTGACAGATTTTACTTTTAAAAACACAAACAAAATTGTTCATATTTTTTTGTAATCAATCACGTCTTTATATTCATATGAAGAAGAGGTATATTCGAGGCCTAAGAAGAAGAAAAAACATTCTCGATTCTTTTACATAATATACAGAGATATTTGGGACATGTTTATAATAAGGAAACAAAAACATTTAAACAAAACTCAATGTAAACTAAGATCTGTAACGTTAAGCTGCATGTAAAGAGTCCGTCTACATTATAAGGATTCTCGTTTTCCTTTCGACATTCTTCGGTATGAATATGAAAAAACATTTACTACTCACCCAATGGTCCACCCAATAATTAGCAACTAACGCCGGACCAAACGACCGTGCAGGATTCATACTCGCTCCAGTGTATGGAATCTGAAAAGAAAAGTAGAAAAAAGAAAGAAAATGTGTGTGACACATTTCCACCGCACATTTCTTTAACTTACAATGTAACCCATTATAAAAATTAAAAAAAGAAGCGAAACTAGGTTGGAAGAAAGTGAAGAAAGAGAAAGAAAAGGACCTCTCACACCTAGACGAAATGATTTTTTTTTATAAAGATCTAATGCAAACCACGTTTGTCATGTTTGATGTGCAGGGGCCCTATAGAGTACTCCGATTCCAGGAGCATATCCAACACAAAGTGGAGCTGACGAAGGCCCCAACCAATGTGTTTGTTCTAGGAAAAAATAAGTTGTATTTTTACAAACGAAAAAACATTTTGAGGGTAAATAAAAAGAAGGGGTCTATCATACATTATTTCAGGAATAACCGGGGGTGCCTGCCCCACCCCTCTCCTGGCGAAGGTGTACCTAAGACAGCAATAACAGTCTAGGTTCCCCCCCCCCCCCCCGTTAAATTAAATTATGGACACGCCACTGCCCTGACGTATCAGGTACATACATATTTGTATTGCACGAATTTATTGATCAGGAATAATAATGACACCCTTTAAGTTGTCTCGATTACGGTAGCACACTCACAAAAAGCATATTGATATATGACAACAGACAACAATATTTCAATTACAATCTACAAGGTAATGGTACCGTAATTTTAATCAATCAAATTTAATGTTGTTCTGCACCATAATTTATGTCGATTGGTTTTCCCTTGTACCTTAAGAAAGTTAATCTCCAATATATGTGTTTTTATCTTAATGTTTTTATAACTGTTATGCTGCAGTAATTTTTTGTCCGTCTTTTAGTTTAATGATTTCTGTCTAAAGTTGTATATGTTGATGTATTTTAGAAGAACTCATGATCATCATCCCCAACAAAGGGATCAATATAGATTCAATATCCATATTGATCATCGTCCTTTTGTGAAAAATGTAACTCAAGATTTGTTTTTACTTACGAGAGAAATTCCATCACTCTTTTGTTTATCGAACGAGAGCACCTTGTAATGATAACAACCCTAATCATATGTGAACGTCCCCGAGTCTCACGGACATCATATTGCAATTTAGGATTGACCTTCTGTCGTTAACGCGTGACCTTTAGAATGTTTATCAATTATTATGAACCTGGGATATTTTGGGCCACGATGAGAGGCAAAGACGATTTCCCCTGATGAAACAAGCCTGCTCGATATAACCATGTTACTGTAATGGCAAATTCGTGACTCCGAATATCATGTCATCGGTATTATGCCGCCAGCATCACCGGTTTGGTCAAAGGCGTACGTGCAAAATTATGCCAGGGGGGTTGACGCCGGATTACAACCCGTTTTTCCGAAGATTCATAATTCCGAAGGTGTGTAATTCCGCAAATCCATAATTCCGAATGTATGTATTTTCGAAACGAAAAAGAGTTCATAATTCCGAAGATATAAAAAAAAAGTATCATAATTCCAAAAACTAGACAGGCTTGTAATTTCGAAAAATGAGATAGGGTTCAAATGAAAAAGAATCCTGTATCGTTTTTTCGGAATTACGGACCTTCGTAGTAACTAACCCTAGTTCATTTTCGGAAGCCTTCGGAATAATGAACCGTATTTCACTTTCTGAATTACGAACCATCGGATAAACGATACTTTGGATTAACGCAACCAAGGGTGTCGATTTGTAACCGTGGTTGGGGGGGGGGGGGATGATAGGTGCCAAAATATTTTCGGCAATGGATCAAAGCAACCAAGAGGTAGAATCGTGTGGCAGGTTGCACCCCCTCCCCAAGCGCGTAGCAAGGATTTCATTTTAGGGGGCGGTAGTGAGCACGTGAAGCGTGCTCCCTAGAGGGTTGGGTGCAGGGAGGGGGAGTATCGAAGTATCCGAAGCTTTGACGTTTCATTAGATTATTAAAGAAAGAAGACGATTCGTTGGACCGTCCTCGACTCTTAATCCTTGTTTGAATCAAGTTCCCCTTCCACCGCGCGTAGCGCGGTAGCTCTGACGTTTCATTAGATTATTAAAGAAAGAAGACGATTTCATGAACCATTCTCGACTCTTAATCCTTAATGTTTGAATCAAGTTCTCCTTCCTTCCCGCGTAGCACGGAAGCTCTGCATGACGTTTCATTAGATTATTTAAGAAAGAAGACGATTCGATGTACCATTCTCGACTCTTAATCCTCGTCTGAATTCAGTCCCCACCCCCTCCCCCGCGAAGCGCGGAAGCTTTGACGTTTCAATAAATTATTACTCTCAATCCTTATCTGTCTTCATTTTCGCCCATCCAGCGCTAAGCGCGCAAGCTTTACCGTTTTATTAAATTATTAGAGAAGGAAGATGATTCGTTGTAGCGTGTCCTTGTCTGAATTCAAATTTCCCCCTCCCGCGCGAAGCGCGGAAGCTTTCACGTTTCATTTGATTATTACTCTTAATCCACGTCTGAAATAATTTTCGCCCATCCCGCGCATAGCGCGGAAGCTTTCACGTATCATTAAATTATTAGAAAAAGAAGACGATTCGTTGTACTGTTCTCTATATTAATCCTTGTCTGAATTCAGTTTCCCCACATGTAACGTTCGTTCGCAAATCTTTGCATGCACAGCCCGGGTGGTGGGTAGCATGTTACATGTATCTCCCGGCAGTGCTTGTCGTAATAGCTTCTGGAAAGGAATTGTATACTACTGTTAGTATTAGTGACTATACAAAATATATGCTCTTCCTGGCTATTTGGGAATGTGTCAGTTTGCAACAGAAATGGAGAAACGCGAATTTTGTTGAAAATCATATGATATCACGAACATTTATAAATCACTTGTATAAAATTGAAAAAAGGTCATGGTTGGATTTTATTATTAATATTAATATTATTATTATTATTATTATTATTATTTTTTTTTTTTTTTTTTTTGGGGGGGGGGGGGGTAGCGCCCCCCCCCCCCCACCAGTACGCCAGTGACATAGGCCTATACATCAGCTTTTCAATAAAACAAACATAAGTTGTGACATAATAATCTTTCTCCAAAAATGAAAAATGTTTTAAGAAATATCAGGAAATAAAATGAGTGAAAAAACCCACAAATAAAGATACAATGACGTGAATTTTAAAAGGGTGAACGGAAACAACATAACAACTAGTGAAATATCTTATAAGTCATACTAATGTCCGAAAATCTTTCTCCTTTCTCCGATCTCATCACGAATTCGTCACAGAGTTCATCTATGTTTACACTGTCCAGGATTGTCTGATGTGCATAGCAGATTGCTACCTTTGCTCTTCGCGCTTAACATTTAGCTCGTTGCTTTTTAACGCTGCGTCTTTGCATTTGGCGCACTGCATTGAGCAAAAATTCAATTTATTCTTGTCTCATAATTATACGGTTGTCTCATTTACATCGTATACATGTATGTATTATGTAAATGGGATAGCAAAATGTGTATATTGATGGTCATCTTGCGAGTATACTCTCATCGGGCTCTCATCATTAATTATTCTCTGAATTTTTTATTTTGAGGGTGAATTATTGGGGGGGGATGATTGTACAGGCCACCCCCCCCCCACCTGAAATATCGGGGGGGGGGTATACCCCCCCCCCCTATCCTCCCGGGATCGACACCCATGAACGCAACAATAATTGTTTGGAATTATGAACCCTATTATATTTTCATTTTCGCAATTATGAACTCTTTGGTATGGGAAATTTGTGAATCGGAGTTACGAACCTCCGACCCATCGGAAATGTGTCTCCCACTTGCTCGAATACACAGGCACAATTTTGTTTAGTAATTATATTTAGAAAATGAGCAAATGAGCCGCATCATGAGACAAATCGATTTGTGGATGATTTTTTTTTCTTCAAGTTTTTTATCAATGGGATCAAGATAGTTTACAAGTTTTGCCAAACTTCACACTCATCTTTTGTGTTCTTTGTAAAAAAAAAAAATTAGTACCATGATGTTATTTGATTTTACATGTATTTGTCATGTTTACAATGTCATGTTGTTTCAATTGAGATGTTTAAATAAATTCAATTAATTTCAATAAAAAAGAGGACATGGCATTGTGTGTAAATAAATTAAGCTTGAACGTTAGATATGTCGGTTACATGATTGTTTCAAAACTGTGATCTATGAAAATACAGGCACTCGAGATCAATTTTTTTGGAGTTGTGCTCAACCATCACAAATGTATTCAACAATAATATAAATTTAACGAAATCCCACCTTAACCCTTTGAAATCTGTACAAACACCGCGAGTTGACATAATGGGCAATAGTGTCTCAGTTATTTTTTGTTGTTGGTGTGTGTACAGTCGTATTTACTTTCATTTTATGGCTTAATAAGGCAATCTATATAGGTACCTTGAAATGGCTTTGTGTTGTTAAATATGCCTACTGATACTCTAAATAAGTATTTGCCTTGACGCTAAATAAAAAGGTCTAAGTTCAGATACTTTAAAATGATATTTGATCTCGGGTGATAAACATTATGTATACACAAATACAAGATTACTAACAATAGTAAACATTGAAAACAAAAATACCGAGCACTTATGTCAAATCGTTTATGACCAAACACATTTGAAATCTTGAATAAATATCGAAATCTAGCAGGGTTACTAATGTTATCAAACTTTGCTTTTAAGAGTTCGTTCGTGAAGAACGTACAAAGTAAACATGACAAAATAAGTTGATTCTATGTATTGAAACATCATGATGGAATATGAGGCAAAACTCGACGGAGTTGCCTCGGCACTTGCAGCTTTGGGGGTAACTTTATCTCTATATATTTATCAGTTATTTCAGTAGTATCTTTACGCAAATACAAGAGTGTGAAGTACAAGTGATAAAAGTCATAATTCGTCATTTAAAAGGTGAGAGTACAAACTGAAGCGATATAACGCGAATTCAGTTCAACATTCATGTTATTGAAATATTCCGAGGAGATCCCTGAACGTACTCTTGTCAACATACGACGTGGGGAGATC